CCTTTGGAGCCTGAGCTTCACTCTTTTGAGTATATTCAAGGGTAGTTTTGCTTAACTATGGAAGATAAAACTCAATTTTGAACACAGTAAGAACTATTTCAAATCAAGGTTGGAGAAGAAGATGGATGAATCAAGCTGGATAGTAAATACCAATGAGGCCTGTGGAGAGCAGAATTCCCACCTCTGTCCCTGGTGTACACACCCTGTATAATATAGTCCCCTCCCCTTGAGTGTAAGCAAAAACTGTCAATATGATGGGATTTCATTCCTACGGTTAGGCTACTAACCAACTAAGTTGATCAAAAGGTTTGGAATAATCGTGGGTGGGCCTGACCTTATCAGATAAGACCTTAAAAGAGGGACCGGGTCCTTCCTGAGGCAAGAGGCTCTCCTTTGGCTTCAGAGAAGCAAACAGCTATGCTGTGAACTATCCACGGAGAGGACCATGTGACAGGGCACGGAGGTGGCATGTGAGACGGCCCACCCATTGACAGCCACCAAGCAAGCAACTGAATTCTGCAAACCAGTGAGCTCAGAAGAGAAGGCTGAGCCTCAGAGGAGACCGCAGCTCTGACCAACACTTTGATTCTCTGCTTAAGCCACTTAGCTTGTGGTTATCACATAGCAACAAGAAACTAATACAAGCCCCAAAACAGAAGTGTCTATTTTTGGTAAAAGTACCAAGTTTCAAAAGGTGACTACCTTGAAGGGCAACACTTCTTTGGATTTGCAGACAGACCTGGATTATTTTAAAAAGGAAAGTCATTTTCATATTGCTTATCGTCCATCTTGCTTATTACTGTTATAATTTTTTCCGGGAAATCTGTTTTAATTTTGTTGCATTTAATAAAAAGGGGTTATTCTTCCCATATATGAGCATTAACATGGATTGGTAATAATAAAAGTAGGAAAGTATAAAAAGAAAAGATTACATTTATGTAGTTTTTGATGTATTTATCTTTTGCTAAAATCCAATTCTTAAAACATAATACATCTGCCACTTGGCTGCTGGATTGTCCGATTTGCTAGGTGTTCTCACTACATTTGGACTAGAATCCATGGTCCTCCCTACTACCCGGCCTCATCACTCTCAAGTAGGAAAATGTATTAAATGAAAGGGTCGCAGCACTCATCAATCACTTGTTCACAATGTTCTGAATGTATTCTCAACGGTGACAATGTTCTCCACCAGGACAGACATCTAGGGGACTGTCTGACCGCAGGACCTCACCTGCCCTCTCACCACCACTCACAACCGTGGCAACACCACTGTTGCTTCTCACACAAACCAGCGCCTTCCTGCCTCTGCCTCTCGGCCCTCCTGCCAGGGTGCTTCCCCCAGCTATCCATCCACTTGGCTCCTCCCTGAAGTGTCACGTCAGTCAGGTCTTCCCTAACTGCCCTATTTAATGAACAGCCTCCCCGTCCCTCCGCGACCCAGGTACTCACTACCCTCCGGCACGGTGCCCGAGGACGTGCCTGGCTTGTTTTACCTCTCTGTGCTTCAGTTCCCCCACCTGTAAGGGGGACAAACAGCTAAACTGTGGAATTATCATGAGGATTACACGTGAGTGTGGATGTGTGGATGAAATGTGCTTAGAGCAGTGCCTGGAACTGACAGTAAACACTACGTGTTATAATAGCTCTGAAAATCTAAAAACAACCTAAACCAACTTTGAAATTAAGCTGCTATCTAACTCATTTCACTTACTGGCAAAGCTTCACCTTCCTGACTCACTGGGTGGCAAAAGCTGACCTAAGTTGTCATGAGGCTACTTGTAACACCACTAAGGATGCTGAAAGATGGTGTATGTACCATATTATCTTTCTAAACTTCAAATATTGAACTATATCTGGTCCTAAGGATTTTGAATACAGGATTGGCATGTAAATTATTACTCGACTTTGTTTTTTACTCTATAGCACTAATCACCATTTCACATATATATAGAGAAACGTACTTTTTTTGTGTGTGTAACTCCCACACAGTAACACACAGTCAAGGGTTATGTTTTATGATTGTACTCCCAGCACCTGGAAGAGTGCCTGGTATATAGTAGGTGCTCAGTTAATGTTAAAAGCATGGTTAAAGGGCCGGCAAAGTGGCTCAGTTGGTTAAGAGCTTGCTCAAGAGTGTGAGCTCTGAGCAACAGTGTCATCAGTTCAATTTCCAAGCTGAGCTGCCAACAGGTGGCAAGATGGCTCAGCTAAAAAAAAAAAAAAAAAAAAAAAAGGTTAAATTTTATGATGTCCAAAATAGAATGTGTAACATTTCTCTTCGGTAGAAGGAAGATTATTTCATGTAGGATGGTGGCTAGTTGCCCTTTAGCTCATGAGGAAAGGCTTGGATCCAGTTTTCATGAAAAGCCCACTTGTATTTATTTCCTGTATGTTCCTCAACTTCCATGCACCAACCTTCTGCCACACTCTCCCCCTGAAAAAGCCACAAAGGCTCAGGGTGTCAATAGTCAGCTCTAAAGATAATTCCAAAATATACTATATGTACAGCTCCAATAAACAATCCCACTTGATAATCCCACCACAATAAATCAATCTGTAATCAAACTGACCACTGAAACCAGTTCCATTCCTGGTGTCTCTGCTGATGACACTGACCACCCACATCTCCCTACCAGCCATGCCCCCAAGCCTAGGAATCACCTTTGAAGCATCGCCTGCCTTCAATGTTACAGCCACCGTCCTGACCTTCAGTTAGCTTCCTCCTTAATCAATCAGCACTGAGCTCCCCCACATGCCAGGTACTGGGCATGCTAAATAAGATAGGCATGAACTTGGCCCAGAGTCTGGAAGAGAAGCCAACGATCACATAAGCAACCACACCAAAAGGGAAAGAAGGCTGAGCAGGCAGGCAGCCCCACGGCGCTACGGAAGGCACCAGGCTAAGGAAGCAAAGAGAGCTGCTCGGTGATGTTTACGCTGAGAATTTAAACATGGTTAAGGCCTTGCTGGGTGAAAATCTACTTAGGTAGAATAGTCAGAAAAGCATTACAACCATCGTTAAATAATGTGTGGACAGTGAGCTGTTCGATAAAACCATTTTCATTCTGTGAATTCCACGAGAGCAGGGACCTCATCTTTGTTTATCTCTCTCTCTATCCCTGTTCCTGGACTTGGGACAATGAGGAAAATCCTGGACTTGGGACAATGAGGAAAATCCGTATCTGGGAAAGATGAATCGTCATGGACAGCCAGGCCTGGGAAGCGGCCCATGGTATGATGGGACAGCAGACAGGTGACCACTTCAAAAGTCCAGGTGGTAAATATCTGACCTTGTGGTAATTTCAGGGATTAGAAAAGCAAAGTTTGGGCCGGCCGAGTGGCTCAGTTGGTTAAGAGCTTGCTCAAGAGTGTGAGCTCTGAGCAACAGGGTCGCCAGTTCGATTCCCACATGGCCAGTGAGCTGCACCCGAGCTGAGCTGCTGCTGAGCTGCCAACAGGTGGTAGGATGGCTCAGCTGGTGAGAGCACGTGCTCCTAACAAGGTTGCCTGTTCCAGATAGTGGGCTATGCCCGCCCACAACTAAAGACTAAACTCGGCATCTTGAGCTGAGCTGCTGCCCAGATGGCTCAGTGGATAGAGCGTGCACTCTTTTTTTTTTAAAGATTTTTATTGGGGAGTTAGGGGAAGGGGAACAGACAAGTTGCTATCCTTTTGTTCTTCAGTCTAGTTGTGGAGGATGTTGCTTCACTGGCCCAAATTGGCACCATCATTGGGCTCTTCCCGGGCGAGGCAGATCAGTCGCCGGCTTCTGGACGGCCGCTCACAGCAGCTGCTGGCTGCTCACGCTGGCTGCTGGCTACACACCATAGCCCATGGCAACCCACCTGCCGTCGCTGGCGACTCACGGCAGCCCAGCTCCAGGCTGAGCTGTTGTTCAGCATCTTAGCTGTAGAGGGCAGTGTCACTGGCCCTCATATGTGGGATCCGAACTGGGGCCCTCTGGCATCCCAAGCCAGCTCTTAACCAACGCACCACTTGGCCGGCCCGAGCGTGCACTCTTAACAACCAGGCTGCTGGTTCAAATCCCACATGGGATGGTGGCTCTGCCCACCCACAACTAATTGAACACAGCACCTTAGCTGAGCAGCGCGACTAGACTTGGAGCTGAGCTAGCTGCGCCCTCCACAACTAAGATTGAAGGACAACAACTTGGCTGTTCCCCTCCCCCAATTCCCCAACACTGTTCCCCTCCCCCAAATCCCCCAAATTAAAAAAAAAAAAAAAGAAACAAGAAAAGCAAAGTTTGAGACATTTCAAGGATGAAAAAGCTTTGATGGATATCTCCAAAGCATCCATGTGCCCACCTCAAGCATAGAACAGATGTCTTCCTATTGTAACTATTTCTGTGTCTGGCTTCGACTTCTCTGAAACTGTGAGCATGTTAAAGGCACTATGTCAATCTTATTATCTTCTCCTGCGTGTCCAGCATCTACAGGAGGAAGGACTTCTGCAGGATGCTCAATGGAAGAACCAGGACAAGAGGACAGCCAGGCTTTGTGCCTGATGGTAAGACAGTGGGCAGGTGCCACTAGGGCAGAGAGGGACGTTGGGAAAGACCTTCCTTCTAGAGAGGTGAGCTTGGTCTGGGATGTTCTGACTTTGAGATAAGGTGGCAAACACACCAGAAGAATGAAGGGAGTTACTGGTAGGTGTCTCTTATATTTGGGATCTACATCTTCCCTTATGTGGAAGGGCCGACAGTGGGTCCCAAGTGTTTTCTACATTGTTATTTAAGTTACATCTCTCAGGTATCCTTTAATCCTACTGGAATGCCATGTGGGTAAGATCAGGCCATGATTACAAGCTCTACAAAGAGATTAGTTATGGGCCTCCTTTAAATAAGGCTCATGTAAGAGACACATACAGAAAATTAATGACAATTCACAAAATCACTTTTTGGATACCCACTCAGTATTCAGAGCAGGAGTTACAAACACATTTTAAAAATCCCTCCCATCAGGAATATAATGACTATTTACCTTGTGACGAGGAACCACGCAATCTGGCTGAAGTCTGGAGAGGGTCTCATGTATGTCTTAATATGGGGCATGGCATTGCTGCGGCCAGATGTCTCAGCTGACCATTTGCTAGTGACAGGAAAGACACAAGTTACTAATTAGAAAGTATAAATGGGTCATAATGCTAATATTAGAAAACTCGATGAAAGGCAAATCCTATAATCTAAAAAACAGTGAGTAGCGAGCTCTCTGTGATATAACCTGTGATAGCTTCTTAAACTCTGTTCAGGTAACAGAACGATGCACGTTCATTCTAGAAGGTAGGTTCGTAGAAGAAAAAAATTTATCACTACCCACAAAAAAAGCACGGTAACCTTTTGGCACATGGCCTTCCTGTCTTCTTTGCCATGAATATGCATATATGCATATATTATATTATTTCTGTTATGCTTTTAACAGAAATATGCACGTCTTGTCTCCTAGCTGGATTGTGAGTTCTTAAACGCTGGAATCGTGCTCCCCTAGCACATGACAGAGTAGAGGCCCAGTAAAAGCTTGTTGAACAAAACAAAATATAATACAAAATGGGAAAAATATAAACAGTATGATTATCAAAACGGAATGTTGAAAAAAAGCTGGGGGATAATTCACAAATACTTCAGTCAAATGCTGATGATATTCACATATCTTGAATTTGGATTACAAGTTTCCAACACTGTCAGACTAAGGTTCCATGGGAAAGAAAAGGGCCCATGTCACGAGGCAACAATCCTTACTTATGAATATACGTAAGAGGATGGTCCCTCAAGAGGACGGCCGGCAAGAACAGAATCGGGATTCGGTAGGTCCATCATTATTAGATTACTAAATCCACTTGAATGAAGACAATACTGAAAGGTCCTCAATCTAAAGAAATGTCCTTTGTAAGGAACAACCTCCCAGGAAAGCATCAAAGAAAGGCTCTAAGTGAATACTGAATCAGGCTGCAAGTTACTGAAATGTAGGTAATCTGCCCTCATTTCCGGCTGTCCAGCCAAACAAATGCCTGTGGAAGCAAGTATGAAACTGGGATCAGCCTAGAATGTGCCAGATGTGCAGCCGCTGTAGTTGGAGGACAAAAACCATTCCTTTCAGTTGTCTATTCAACTGTTTACTGAATTCTTACGACAAGCCACATACTACCCTGTATGCTGGAGGCACAGTGGCGAGGACTCTGCCTTCAGCAAGCTTGCAGTCACACAGTGTATGACGGTGTAGACAGAATGGCTATATTTTCTATACTGGAAATATGAACTAAAAGTTATTTATGTAAATTCTAAACTACCCAACACGTTATTTTATTTTTTCTTTGCGTGCCAATATATACACGGAAACCTCACAGAGATGAATTTTACTCTCTGGTATTAAAAACCTATTCCAAAAAAAAAAAGCGTTCAAAACTTTGTTTTAAATTATTTCTGGGCCGGCCGAGTGGCGCGATGGTTAAGAACTGGCTTGGGACGCCAGAGGGCCCCGGTTCGGATCCCACATATGAGGGCCAGTGACACTGCCCTCCAAAAAAAAAAAATAAATAAAATAAATAAATAAATAAATAATTTCTATCACTAACATATGTAGATAAAAAAATATAGCTATATTACATAAGGTCCTTTTAAAAACAATCAGACATAAATAACATTCTTATTCCTAAAGAAACAAGAGCAGCATTCTAAACCAATTACTTACTGAAAATAGGAGTGAAGCCAATTCTGCTTTTTCGCCGTCTGGATGCTATAGGGAAGAGAGCCCCCAGCTTTCAAAAGAAGAAAAATAAATAAAAATTATGGAACATAACTTGAAGATCCTTCTTTAAGAAGAAAATCTTTGGTAAACAGTGAAAAGGTAAAAGGGGAAAAACAAAACAACTTCCATGGTGTTATCTTATGGAACAGTTCTCGGACAGGAAATGCGTATGCTCGCACTAGGTATGTTTTCTCAATGGGGTTTCCTTCCTCAGGGATGCATACTAAATAGTAAATGTTTACTATCTGAAAAGAAAAAGGTATTTAATCACACAGGGGGCGGCAATTTAATATCTATAACAGCACAGATCTGAAGTGTTAGAAAAACCACAGACAGAAGAAGCTTAGGCAACCTTGGCCTCGTTTTTTCAAGGTGCGGTCTAGAGCGCCTGTTTTTGCCAAGCCCAGGACCCCTGGGGCAGATGAGGAGGAGAACTCCTAGGAGAAGATGGTTCTCCTGCCCACTTCGCCTTTTACACTCTGCTACTTGCACAGACTTTGTGCTAAACAGATTCTTACAAATGAAAGAGGATGGTCACTAACATGAAGGAAATGAAAACATCCAGCACACAAGTTTTAAAAAAGGAATTCTAGGGCGGCCAGTTAGCTCAGGTGGTTAGAGCGCAGGCTCATAACACCAAGGTTGCCCGTTTGATTCCCACATGGGCCAGTGAGCTGCGCCCACCACAACTAGATTGACGACAACTACTTGACTTGGAGCTGATGAGTCTTAGAAAAACACACTGTTCCCCAATAAAATTAAAAAAAAAAAAAAAGGAATTCTAAAAGCCATATTCCTACAAAAAAATAAGTTGCAAGTGAAAACAATTCGAAGCCAATTTTTGTTCTTTGAAAGGAGGAACGTTCCCTTGCAGACCCATCAATTGCTTTCCAAAGATGGGTTGGAAGTTCTCCGTAGTAATCTATCCAAAGAGGGCTCTAAATGTCTCTGACTTACCAAAGGCAGAATGCTGTGTATGCTGTTGCAAGTAACTAAAAACATACTCAGGGTCTCAGGAGCAGTTATAAAACAGCTTTATTGAAAATATCATGTTCTATCCATTAAAAAGTTATGTTTTGAATGGATCTAGCCTATTTAGAAAGTGCAGAAAGGAGAAGACAACAAAACAATCCGCCACATCTGAGTCTCAGTGAAATAATTTCAGCTTTGCCATTACAAAGCAACAAATGGGCTAAAACACTCCAAACCCTACGGAGATTTTTCTGGCAGGGTCATTCTAGTATGACAAGTGATAATTGGACTAAATTAGTCGAATTCAGAGCATTCTGCTTCCAGCCATAAGCAAATGCCAATCAGACTTGCTTTTATGCCAGGGGCATACACTGTTTGGGTTTTTGGTTATCACCTCCCAAATGCACAATCTGGGGTGGGGGGGTGGAGCTGTTGAATTCCAAATAAAAGTTTAGTATCCAGCACTGGTATAAGGGAAATAGAGAACAAGGCAATGTCTACAAAATAATCCTAGGCATTTAGAGATGAAGCTCTTGAGATGAGCTGTATCAACTAAGCTATAATCAAAGGTTGAAACATAAGTTCTGAACCTTAAATATATCTGTATCTGGGAGTCAAATCGCAAGAACCACACAGCACCACAGATCCAGGTAGGGAGGATGGAAACAGAGAGAGATCAGAGAAAGGCATGTTAGAATTGCTCTGGAAAGGCACACAGCAGCAGGGGGAGCTGGATTTACTTGGGCATCTTGTCTGGACAGCCAATCTATTGGTGGCAGAGGTGAGAACAGGCTTATCGGCAGAAATCAGAACATCAATCACTCAGAGGGTTACTGGACGTTACATAACATACGAACTGCCCAACTGTGTGGAGCCATCTTTGGAACATACGACTGCTTGATATTACCTATTTTCATGATTCTTATTCAGTGAAGAGAAAATAATCTACAAATTTCTAACCAATACTTTCCTCATCTCAAGGAGGTAAGCATTCTCATTACTTGTTTTGAAAAAGTTTACCAGGGCATCTATGAAATATAGACAAAAAGTACAATTCTGACAGTCGCCCCAACAATTACCTGGATATCCTTCTAAGCTGGTTCGCACATTTTCCACAGATGGATAGATCTAAAAATAAACAAGAAAAAAAACACAAAAAACCCCATAAAACTAGAAGGTACCATGTTGAAGAAACTATTTGTTAAAAGGAATGCTGATTAGTTTTTAAGGAAATGAAAATCTCAGTTCAAAATACGTAAAGACTTAGAAAATGCTTTAAAATTTAAAATATTCCTGTCTTAACTGAAAAAAATTGAACTTCTAGTAATTAAACCACAGGATGCATATATAATTGATGAAAAAAAACCCCTACACTTTGATTTGAGTGTTTTTTTCCCTCGGAAATGCCAAATTAACATTGAATTGAATGCAAAATTAATGATTCTTTCAAAGAGGTCTAAACATTAATGCTCATGAGCCTGCTGGCAATGCTTCACCAAGTATTTTTTCCTTGGCTTGACAACCTGAGGATGGAAGGGACAAACCGCAGGCTAGTCTGTGGCTGAAACGGAGCTCTGGCTGAACCAGCACGCTCCCAGCACCAGGTGATGGCAGGGCCACTTGATTACAAGTGATGATGCCCTAACTGCTGTTTCTACCCAAACCTCACTGAATAAAACATCTGTGACAAGGAGCACCGAGTCTCCAGTCCTCTCCTGGACGAGAGAATCTAAATAACTAACTCAAGGAGGCAGAGCACTCACCAGGTGAAGAGGAGCGGCACTTTTCCGTAGGGGCTTGCTTTCCTCCCCCAGCATCACCAAGGTCTCCTTAAACTCGGAACACAACCACTTCGATTCGTCAGCCCCCATGGAGCCAATGCTTGAAAACTGACCTACTATGGGCCAGGCCTCGGCTTTAGGTATGGATGAGCCATGCTCTTTCAGAAGCTGTGGAATAACAGTGAATGTGACAGTCACTCACACATAGGGACAGAAATGCTGTAATGACCCAGAACATGGTTTTCTGCCCTTGAATTCCCTAATTAACAAAAAATGCTGAGAAGATTAGCGACCAATTTCACATCCATGTATACATTTTTTTCTTCTTTGGGAAATAGTTTTTAAATTCTAAAAATATTTTATTTTAATGGAGTAAGTTGGCAGAAGAAGTCCTCTTCTCCCCAAATTCTTTTGATTTGTATCAAAAGCAAAAACAGATAAAAAAATTTAAAAAGATCCATTTTAGTAGAAATGTCAGATAAGCCACCAACCTGCCTTAGGATGTCAGATTATTTGCTTTGAAATCATAATTGTTTAATATACCTGCACAATACATCAAAGGTCAAACTATTGTATATTTTGACTCCTATCATTTGAAAGAGGTTTAGCACTTGGGCTCCAGGCAGCTCTTAAAATGGAAGAGACTATATTTACATACAGATAATAGTACTTGAAGCACTGCAAAAGAAAGTTCTGCATTTTCTGCTTTGATACTGCAGAACCATTCAGAAACCATTTGGAAATCTTACCCACTTAAATACGTACTGAGAGTCTACCCAGAGGCTGGAGATAGCAAGAACAATAAACTGCAATTCCTGCCCCAGTGGAGCTTATATCCTAACTGATGTTGTGTTTAGTTTCACATGTATTATTTTCTTTTCTTTTTTTCTTTTTGTTTATTGGGGAATTGGGGGAGGAGAACAGTGTTGGGGAATTGGGAAAGGGGAACAGCCAAGTGTTGTTCTTCAATCTTCGTTGTGGAGGGGCCAGTCGCCATCTGGCTGCCCGTAGGCAGCTCGTGGCCTCTAAGCTCAAGGTGCTGTGTTCAGGCTTAGATGTGGATGGGCATTGCCACCATCCCTTGTGGGAGTCGAACCAGCAGCCTTGTTGTTAAGAGCTCACGCTCTATCCACTGAGCCATCTAGGTGGGAGCTCAGCTCGAGGTGCCGAGTTCAGCCTTAGTTGCGAGTGGGCATAGCCCACCATCGAATAGGCAACCTTGTTGTTACACCAGCTGAGCCATCCTGCCACCTGTTGGCAGCTCAGCAACAGCTCAGCTCGGGCGCAGCATCACTGGCCCATGTGGGAATTGAACCGGAGGCCCTGTTGCTCAGAGCTCGCGCTCTTAAGCCAACTCTTAACCAACTGAGCCACTCAGCTGGCCCTTATTTTCTTGAATATATTATTATCTAATATTAGCATAGGCATTAATAGTTATAAACACCCTTACCAAAAAGTCCAAACAACTCTCAACTTCCACCCTGGGGGCAGCATGGTGTCGGAAACAGGGCTGAGCTGAACAGTGTCTATTCTGGCACTTAGCTCGGGTCGGAGGCATGACCCTGGACAAGTCTCTGTGCTTCCATTTACTTGTCAGTGAAACAGGGGTCTGATCATGCCGCCTTCCCTGAAAGGTAGTTGTGATGCAACATGGACCACTGTGTGTGAAAAGTGCTTGCAAAACTTTACAGCTAGGGGCCTGCCGAGTGGCTTAGTTGGTTAAGAGCTTGCTCAAGAGTGCAAGCTCTGAGCAACAGAGTTGTCAGTTCAATTCCCACATGGGCCAGTGAGCTGCACTGAGTTGCCAACAGGTGGCAGGATGCCTCAGCTGGTGAGAGCACGTGCTCCTAACAACACGCTTGCCTTTTCGAGATGGTGGGCTACACCCGCAAGCAACTATAGACTGAACTCGGCGCCTTGAGTTGAGCTGCCACCCGGATGGCTCAGTGGACAGAGCGTGCGCTCTTAACAACCAGGCTGTTGGTTCGACTCCCACATGGGATGGTGGCTACGCCCACCTGCAAGTAATTGAACACAGCACCTTGAGCTGAGCAGAGCGACTGGACTTGGAGCTGAGCTAGCTGCGCCCTCCACAACTAAGACTGAAGGACAACAACTTGGCTGTTCCCCTTCCCCAATTCCTCAACACTGTTCCCCTCCCCCAATTCCACAATAAAATCTTTAAAAAAACCCAAAAAACAAAGACCAAAAAACTTTACGATGCTATTCACCTTCCAGTCAGCTTGTGAGTACACACAGCATGTGCTATTATTACCTAGCTTGTGTAAACCACCAGCTCAGAAACAAGTAACCACTAACGCTTACTGAACACTCAATATGTGCCCTGCACTCACTGTTTCATTTCATCCTTACCCATTTCTGCGAGGGAAGCACTATTATTACGCCTATTTTACAGAGGATAAGAGAGGCAGGTCAAGCAGAAAGCCAAGATCACATGACTTATAAAGAACAGGTTAGGGTTTGAACCCAGCTATGTGCATCTACTTGCAAAGCTGTGTGCTTGGCCAGCGAGCTCTGCTCCCTCTCTAGGTCAAGGCATGAAGAGGTTGGCTTCAAGCTCTTGACTGCTTTTAGCTGCGATCTCATTTTTATTTATTTTATTTTTTTTTTAGCTGAGCCATCCTACTACCTGTTGGCAGCTCAGCAGCTGCTCAGCTCGGGCCGGGACTCGAACTGCTGTTGCTCAGAGCTCAAACCCTTGAGCGAGCTCTTAACTAACTGAGCCACTCGGCCGGTCCTCAGCTGTGATCTCATTTTTAAAAGGATAAATTAAATATTCATTAACCATGGAGAATTCTTAAATAAGTAATTTACAGAAAAAGAGGTATGGCTTTTAAGAAAGGCACTTTAGGGGATTTATTAAGGTCGGTAAACTGTCTCCTGAAGGGCGATGAAGAAAACTTTCATCTTTAACTTGCTTGTTGTTTTATTTTGTTAAAGACCTTTCTTTGTTATTTTCGTACCAGCAGCAAATGTCATTTTTGTAGTAACAATTCTCTTAAGGGTGCTGGTTTAGTAAACAAAATACATTATAGCTCAGTTGTAGACTTTACTCAACACTATTTTCTGTGCTCTGTTGAATTTGTGTTAAAAGTCCCTGATATGTTGATCAAAAGCTGCAAAATAACTGCATGAATGAGAAGTCCTAATTATCTTTATTACAAGAAATATAAAAACTAGAAGTCCATATACTTTTGTCATTTAGAAAAGACTACGCCTGTAGAAGAGGCATAGCAAAACATCCAAAACTGAAAACTCTTAGACAATCAATTTATCGTGTGCCTATGATTCGCCCAGAATTGTGCTACAGATACTGTGATGCTGCCACCAAAATATACAATTATAAACAAAAAAGGAGAGAGAATATACATTGAATTTTTAAAAAATGTTAAAATGGTAAAAATCCTCTTACCTTCCTAAGCCTAAAATGTCCCCAATTATCTTTCTGACTTCCTTGAAAGCGTCCTGGGGTTGATCCAATGAGGTAAACGCTAAAAAGATATAAAATGTTAAGTGACAGTTCACAGTGACGTGATTTGTGGACCCCCCCAAATCACAAAATACATATGAAAATTAATGTAATCATGAAATAATCTCAGAGCCAGCCCATTTTCTTAGGATGCTTCCTCAGAGAAGTAATTGTTACTTGAACTCATTTTCAAGCACATCAACTAATGGTGGGATACCTACAAGGCATAAGGTACCAGGCAAAGAATGCATGAATTTTAAGAGCACTCCAGTAGGAGGCTTAGGGTCAGGGGGACAATTTACTGGCCTCCACTCCAGTGGCTGAGAACTGGAGATGCAGATGGTAACGGAGCCTTCTGCTTTTGTCACCTCAGGAAGCACACAGCTCAGTATTACTCAACCTCTTCCCAAGACCCCTGCAAGTCAGACCTGGAGCGGCTCTCTGGGCAGTAACCTACTGTAAGCGGCCCTGCTGGTTGCGACGACACGTACTTTGTTTCAGAGAGATCATGCTTATGGATGACATCTATCCACTCCTTGAGAGCAGGGATATTATAAGCCGTCAGGTAGCTGATGAGATCAGCTTTAAAACGTGTTGTTGATTCTCCAGATCTGTGGGTTCCGTGGGCAATTTGTGGGTACAAGGGGCTCAGCCACATTCTGAAACGAGAGAAAGTGACTATTAAGAGTCAGGAACGCAACTCTCACAACAGTACCTCTGTATTCATTATGCACTCACTCTAAGGAAGAGGTTGAGTTCTCACTACCCACCTACATGTGACCCTTACGAAACATAAACCCGATCACACCGCTCAGATAGCTTCCACCATATTCAGAATTATTTTTGAACACCTCACCATGAGTTTAAGGCCCAGTAGATCTCGCCTCTGTCCACCTCTCCCAGTCCAATCCCTCCAGGCTCCCTTCCATTCATTCAGCACACCTTTCTTCTACTCATTCTTTCCTCACCCTCTGTGTTGCTTTCTGAGATGTGATGACAAGTTAATAGCTCTCCTCTCCATTGTTATAGCAAATCCATGCCACCTGTAGTAACCCCAAACAAGATTTTTCCCATGACTATGTCAATGAGATGCTTTAGCCAAGTTATCTATACTAAGAAAAATAGATGGGAAAATCTATTTCTAATAAAAACTTATTTTCATAATATGTACGCTATAGCAGTTTGAGATATTTTCATATCCTATACTTTCCAGTGTCTGGAATGAGTCTATGCCGCATTTAATGAAATTGGATTAACACTAAAACCTCAGACTTTCAAATAAACAAAATATTAAAGACATCTTTCATCTCATCAATTCTTTCTCCCCAAAGGAAAACAATGCCGTTTGCCCAAGCTTCTGTGATATACCCGCAAATGGAAAATATCATATCTAAGCCCAATCCTTCTATGAACTGCTCCATGGTAGATTACAAAAAAGTACCATTTCAAACCTCTTGTGCTCAGTTTCTTCAACTGCAAAATTGGGTTAACAGTCTTGCTTCACAGGGCTGTTATAAAGATGCACACGAGGAAATGAACAGTGTCCAGCACACGGAAGCACTCAGGGAGTACAGGCTGTTACTGTCTTTCTCCCCTTTTTGCGGCTACCTCCCCCGCCATCCTACCCATTAAGCCAAAAGAGAAACTGCTGAATTCTGCCTTTCACTTGGTGGCCCTCAGAAGAGACAAGCAAGACAAAGGCCACCAGGGCACGAAGCTTCCAGAACCACAAGGATCCTGGCTGTGTGCATTCTGACTCGTGGCTTGTCTTCCTTTCCCTTCTCACCTTGAGGAGACCCCTTGCACAAGGAAACAACACAGTGGGACAAAGACTGGAGCCCAGATCTAACTGGCCGTGTCATTTGGGACAAGCCCAGTAACCTCTCTGACCTCGGCTTGTGTGTGTGTAAAATGGACGTGGGGAGCTGCACGGATGTGCAGGGCTCTCCTCCCAATAGGAACTCGGGGCCCACTGGCTGAGTGGGGCTCCTCCGGGATTAGAGGTTCACTCCTAAGAGTGACTCTGCGGGAGGAACATAACAATGACTTTCTAGACCAGGGTACTGAGGTGTCAGGCATTTTTAATGCTTCACAAAATAGGATGAGAAAATGATCACTGTGGGCCAAATAATTTTAAAAGTGAGAAATTAACAGGTGGACCCAGAAGCAGTGGAAAGGGTGGCTGGAACAGAAAAGGGCCAGCAGCACCATGGTGGACCAGTTAAGACTATGCAAAAGAACTGCTTTTAAATGTTTTGTTTTGTTTTTTAATTATAACCAACAATAGCAAAGTATCACAAAGAGTAGGCACTAGACGAACGGGAGGTAACAGTTCCCCACTCTGGATGTCTGCAAAAGGATGCTGGAGGGAGATTTCATGCCCTTGGTACTTCTTGAGTTTTAAACCAGGTGAAGCTAATACCTAGTCAATAATTAAAAAAAAAAAAGTAACAAAATTTTTTTAAATAAAGGAAAAAAAGTAGCACCCGAGCCCTTACGCTTAACCCCTTCTCCATAGCAACCACCCCCAGAGCAGTCCAAGGAAGCATATAGGCGCAAGCTTCCAACCCTAGAGGGAGCAGGGGGGCCAGGGGTGGGATGCTTTGATGCACACGAGACTGAGGACCAACTTGATAAATCCAGTTAGTTACATTAATTGCTGTTTCCTTAAGAAAAGCTACAGTAATCTCATTTCCTTTCTGGTGGGACTGCATACAACTCATGAACCCAAAACCCAACCCTGTGGCTTAGAAGCTCTAGGTAGCAAAGGGGCAGTTAACCAGAAACTCAGTAAGTAGGTCAAGAGAGTCCTGTGGTTGCGGCTCTGACGAGACAGACTGGCAAGCCCCTTGACCCTGAACCAGTTGGAGTTACACTGCATTTTAAGATGCATACATTAAGTGGGACACTCAAACAAGAACATGTTTGAAGGAAAATATCAGGGAGTGGGGCCGGGGCTCAAAGCCACCGGCTGTGGTGGGGGAGGGGAGTGCAGCGAGGGAGCAAGGGATGTCAGGCTCAGGGAAGAGACCGTCTTTCAAACTCGGAAAGGCTGTCTTACGGAAAAGAGGTAACGCTTACTGTACACGCACGCGCAGGTCAGAGCAGGGCCAGTGGATGGAGGCATGAAGGCTCATCTCATGGAGGTATTTCAGCTCAATCTAAGGCGGGACTTGGGCTCAGTGACAGCTATGATGTCCCTAACTAGTTCTGGCCCAGGCTAGGCAATGATACAGGGCAAGGTTGGCAGGGGAGAAAATTTGGACCCTGAAAGGGTGCCAGAGGAATGCCTGAAACTCTTCTAACACAGGAGACTATTACCCAACTCTTTACCTTCTTTAAAAAAAGGCAAAGATGTATAAAATGGCATAAATGAAAGGTAAATTAAAGCTAGTCACGAAGGGCTTACCAAGACAGAGAACAATGGTTTAAACTTGATTTGTGCAAATCCCTAACATTTCTAAAAGTAAACCCAAACTCCCTTTTAAAAACAGATCAAAATGTAGATAGAGCATATGCGCACCAAGGACAAACAGTAATAAAAACAAAGCATGGGGCTGGCCAAGTGGCTCGGTTGGTTAAGAGCTGGCTTAAGAGCGCGAGCTCTGAGCAACAGGGCTGCCAGTTCGATTCCTACATGGGCCAGTGACGCTGCACCTGAGCTGAGCTGCCAACAGGTGGCAGGATGGCTCAGCTGGTGTAACAACAAGATTGCCTGTTCGATGGTGGGCTATGCCCACCTGCAACTAAGACTGAACTCAGCACCTTGAGCTGAGCTGCTGCCTGGATGGCTCAGTGGATAGAGCGTGCACTCTTAACAACAAGGCTACTGGTTCGACTCCCGCACGGAATGTGGCTATGTCCATCTGTAACTAACATTGTAACACAGCACCTTGAGCTTAGAGGCCATGAGCTGCTGTCGGGAAGACAGGTGGCAACTGGCGCCCTCCACAATGAAGATTGAAGAACAACAACTTGGCTGGTCCCCTCCCCCAAATCCCCAAAATCTTAAAAAAAAACACAAAAAAAAAAACAACAACAGCATGAAAAACTCTCATGTTCAATGTTCCTGGAGTCACAACCCTACGAACATATTAAAGACTTTACAAAGCCATCAGTGTAGATATGTTTTAAAGGAAATATACTGATTGGGGGTGAGGGGAAATTTTCAGCAAATGATTAACCCCCAAGTTGTCCTTTGATACCTGCTGGGAAGTGGCAAGCATGAATACACGTGCACACAGGGGTGAGGGAGGCCGAGAAGGTTATCTGGTGGGTCTCACTGGAGAAGTGCGTTCAGGCCTTTTACGTCGCATCCTCTTTCCTGCCTCAAATACTCGGAGGTACTTGGCTGTAGAGCGTGTGTATAAGCCCATTTTTGTAAAAACTAGGAAAAAACTACTGTGTGTAGAAATTTATCTATGCATATATGTATAATAGAGATGACTGTGGATGACTGTGTTCTAATCTGTTAACACTGGTTACCTCAAGAGTTACTGGGGGGGGGGGGGAGCACTAAAAAAATGCTATCACTTTTCCTGTATGTCTCTTTTCTATGCCATATGTGTGGGTGTTTTACAATTAAAAAAAATATATATAGAAAAGAAAAAAAAGAGTAAAGCGAATGTTCTGGCTTTTGACCGTTCTCAGCACACACAGCCACTGCCGGGAAGTGAACAGAACCCCACGCACCCTTGCGTTTTCTGGTGCCAGTCTTCACGGATGAGGTTGGAGGTGTGTATGACAACCCGGAGGCCTTCTTCGTACAGCAGTAGCATCATTTTCCTGTAAAAACAGAAAAGGCATCAAAAGGCATTAATGGTACTTTCAAAGAAAATATGTAATACTTTTCTAATGTAAATGTAATAGCTAGAGGAATTCTTCACTCGTACATTCCCCAAACTTTTAACATTTATAATCTGCCTTTCTTTCACACCTTATCATGATCAAGTCTGCGTAAGTGATTAGGTAGAAAACCACCTTCCAAAATGCTTCCGAGTATTTGGTGGTCGATGAACTTTTGAACCATCCTGTCTACCTGTCCAGTCCTGGCACTTCAAACCTGCCCTCCGCCCCCAACGTGGCTCATTATCTATTTAGAATCATCTGTTGCTATTGGGGACAACAGGAACCTTCTTGTCCAGTGTTCCTCAAGGTCACAACCTCTTGCTGTATCATTACCAGCATTTTTAAACTGCAATGACTTAGAAACTCAAGACTATGCTGTTTATATTATAATAAGTTCAGTATTGTTTCATGAAGCCTCTTTCAGCATAGAAGCATGGACGTGTGTGATAGACCGAATGTCCAATGTATTTCTTCTTGTGGGTTGCCGTTTAAAAAATGTTTGAAAGCAGCTTCATTTTCATACTCCCCAGCTGCCACGCTTGTCACCAGCGTGGACCTGGGCTTGAGGTCGGCCTTCCCCTTCCTTCCCCATGAAATCAGACCTGGCTGAGTCCTCTCTTTCCGACAGTTCTCCCCCTTCAGTCATGAGACCTACTTCTCGTATTTTACTTCCAGTGAGAGAAGGGGAATAGGACACAAATAAGAGCTTGGATTCCATGTGAAGTTGGAAGACCTCAATCCAGTCTTCATCGGTTAGAAGCCGTGTGACCCTAGGCAAGTCATTTAATATCCCTGAGTCATTCTGTGTCCCTGGGCCTTGGTGTTCCACTTGGAACCTGGAGGATCAACCCCTTGGTTACTTCCCAGGGTTATCGTGAGAATGAAATACAATATGCATTTTGTTAGATGTTAAACACTCTCACGTGTACACTCCCTTCAATGCCTTGCTTTACTTTGTCATCAACTGTTGGGTGATTTCTGGTCTCTTGATTGTTTTCTAATTGTTTCCGAAATCTAAGGTCTCTCTCCCCAGCCAGGGAAGCACTCCTCCAGGCAGTAACCCTGTCCTGACTTATTTCCACTGAGGCCGAAACGCTCCTTAATACTCACTGATGTAAGTCAACTCACACATAAGGAAAAAAGTGAGCTGCGGGTTCTCTCAAATAAACAGCAGCATGAATACTATTTGGATAGGACGGGGTTGGCATAAAAAGATGGAAAAGAATATAAGAACAGAGAATGGATTTAGCTCTTGCCAAAATGAGAATTTAGCCCAAGCTGGCAAACAGTAAATTAATGCAAAGCTGGAGAAATGACAGCTGTTGAGCCAATCTTGTTTCCATTTATGACATGTGCGCTCTAAAATCTGGGCAAATTTATACACACAGTTCCCAAATTAGCAGCTGATTGTAATTAAGAAAAAGCCAGTTATGAATTCATGATACGAGTTTTACAAATATTTCCATTAATCAAGGCATCAATTATCAGGAAAATCCCACACTAATGTCAGTGAATCATATCAAACAGAACTGTGAACCAATCTAAGGGGAGTCATATTAATCCTTTCATAGACAAAACGCCATATGCCACTAAGGTCACAATTAAACATGGATCAAAAGGGGTTAGAAATGGGATCGCTCTTGAAGAATGCTGACTTTGCATATTATCTGTTGAGCTGTGCGGGCAGCGAAAGCGGACACTTCCCAAATTTGAAGGTACTTCTGTGTGGAGGGAAACAAAAGCAATGTCTGCAGAGCAACTACACGCCAGGCACCGTTCTGGAAGCTCCGCAGAATGCCAGCAAGCTAAATCCACACGGGAACCCAAAGAAAGGGGCACCGCTCCCATTTACGGCTGCAGGATCTGTGGCTGAGAGAGGTTATGGGAATAGCCAGGTCACAAAATGAGCCAGAGGAAGAGCTTGTTAGGATCAGACGAGCTGGGATCCTCATCTCACTGCACATGGCTTCTGTGGGGCTGGACCCGGCCTCGCGCATTTCACGCTGCTAGGCGTGGGAGTGGGCGAGGTGGGGGCCATGTGGTCTAGGTGAGAAAGGGGGCTACAGATGGGAGTGGAAAGAGGTATGCCCCGCCCAAGCTGTGGACAGGGCCCTGTCAGTTCACTTGGCTCCCCACTGGACAGGGACATTGGACATGGAGCTGCTTTGGCTCCCTCCGTGGATTCTTGGGGCCATCAAGGCTAACTTCACTCCCAGCTCTGGGGGAAACTAAAAAGCTTTAGAATTCTAAGGCACTGCGAGATAAACCCTGTGATTACATGGCATCCTACAGAAACACGGAGGGGGCACGGTTAATGTATCTAACCGGACTACGGGCTCCTGGAGGACGGGCTGCATCCGGTCATTTCCAGGTGCTCTGCACAGAGCGCATGGTGGACCCGAGCCTGCCGAAGTGCACGCCGTCTCAAAGCCACTTCCTATTTACTGTGGTGGCTCCACTCTGTCTAGTTGGGGAGGCGGTTTCCGCTCCATCACCAGGGGCTGGAAAGTTTTCTTCCTTTTCTAATTCATGTTTGTCTTGCCTCTGTCACCAAGACTAAAAGTTGCAAGAGCAAAAACTATTACGTCTCAAAACACTTTATATCCCCTAGAGCTGTCTCTTAAGAATAGATATTTAATAACTCCTAAAACATTTTAAAATGAGCAAGTGCAAGTAATTTCAAGAAATGAGTTCCATCTCCTACCAGACACCAGCATTTTAACAAAATGCAAACTACACATATGTGTGGCTGGGAAAGGTTCTATTATAATTACTCTCCTAGGCATTTAAAGCTCGAAGGCAGAACTCAGCTGGGTTTAACCTGCAGAGTGTGTATGTTGGAGAGGAAAAGGAGACATGGACTTGCAAAGTGTGTGAGTGTGTGTGCGCGCGTGCGTGCTGAGCGAAGATGGGCAAAAGGAAACAGTAAGTTCATTTCAGCAGTGAGCAACAAAAATAAATTAAAAACAAGTTAAAAATAAATGGGTTCTGGTCCTGTCTTCAACACTGGCCTGAGGAAACCCATTTAAGTACTCAGGGGACCCTGGTCTATAAGACAAAAAGGAAGGGCCAAATAATTTTTGACTAGCATTCACAAAAGCCCCTCTAGGCTCAGTTGATCACCAGTGTGTTAGATCCCAACCAGGCCCAGCACACTCGGTCCCTCCCGGACAGAGGCGCAGGCTGTCCTACTTGTTAGCACATTAAATGTAGTGTGACTTTGCCCGTGAAATGCTGACTTCTGGCACAGAACGTGTGGCCAGCATGGGAACGGGGAACTGGTGGTCCAGGAAATCATTCCTAAAACCCAAATAAACGAGAGCACTTGCCGAATGTATCTTAGAATTGGTAAGGTATTTATGCTAGGGTTCCAGCTAAGGGTGGGGGACAAGGGTTCATCTGGGGTTACCCATTACTGGCAGAAGGTCTCCCCCTGGCAGGTTGACTACTGCCACCCATCAGTGTCTCCTGTGATGCAGCTCGGGGAACCCTAAGATGCTGAGCTGCCTTATTCAAGTCCATTTTGTATCCTCTGCCCAAACTGGCATCCTGTGAGCTCAGTGCCAATGTACAGGATAATTTACGGTGGAGTCGAGTGCTGGAGTTCATGCCCAACAGTCCTCAGACCCTGTCCTCTATTAGACTGAAGCTACCAACTGGGGATGGTTGGTAAACGCGGCAACTTTTATCAAGGGCATCTAAGACCAGAATTGCAGAGCTGATGGGTATCCTTCTACAAAATGGGTCAAGCCTTTCCGCTCTGGTTCCTTTTTTTAAAAAACCGATTGGCAAAATATAGTTTTAAATGTACAAGGAGAAAGAAGAACATATGCCTTTAGTTTAGGTCACCATACTATCAGGAAAATAGCAGTCACAGCAAAACTGGGGACTCCGCGCCCCAGATTCATCTCTGCCCTACAGATACCTGCAGGGACATGCTGAAAGCAGCCAACTTCCCATTTCCATCGCTGGTCTAGAAGAAACATGAGGTTCTGTCACGTTCTTTTCGCAAATCCTTTCTAAAGAAGTGTGACTTATAAAAATACTGAAATGGAGAGAACTCTGTCTTACTCCTTTTCTCATTTATAGAACCAGTTATGTAAAAGAGCTTAGCACAAACAGCTGTCAAATGAACCGAAAACGGGAGTCTACCTGACAATTGGGTGTGACGTGTCACGTAGGAAATAAAAGATTTTCCTGGTTTGCAATGTCTCAGAAAATTATTCTAAAAGAAATTTCTGAACTTGTTTTGAGCAGGGGCAGGCATCAGCGTCTCAATTTGACAATTTTTTGTAAAATAGATTTTCTTTCAATCACAGCATGGAGCTGACCTAACAATATTCTTTTTTTTTTTTAAAGGTTTTATTGGGGAATTAGGGGAGGGGAACAGCGCTGGGGAATCGGAAGAAGGGGAACAGACAAGTTGCTGTCGTTTTGTTCTTCAGTCTAGTTGTGGAGGATGTTGCTTCACTGGCCCAAGTTGGCACCTTCATTGTGCTCTTCCCGGGCGAGGCAGATCAGTCGCCGGCTTCTGGATGGCCGCTTATGCTGGCTGCTGGCTACATACGGTAGCCCATGGCAACCCACTGCAGCAGGGGCTGCAGCCTACAACGTCACCGGCGACTCGGCAGCCCAGCCCCAGGTCGAGCTGCCGTTCACCATCTTAGCTGCAGAGGGCGTGTCACTAGCCCTCATACATGGGATCCGAACTGGGTCCTCTGGCGTCCCAAGCCAGTTCTTAACCAACGCGCCACTCGGCCGGCCCAACAATATTCTTTTTGATGTAACTCTTATAAAAATCATAAGACTTTCTTTAAAGTAGTGGAATCCACAGGCACGTGACTAACACACGTGTAGTCATCGATAATCATGGACCACACAACAGGTCTATTCTCCTACAAGCAACGCCCTGAACAGAACCCAGAAACCACACCACAGATTCGGACTTTCATGCTGAAAGCCAGGTCCCAGTACTTTGTCTTAAGGCTGTTAGAAAACAACTCCACTTCCTCTACTTCCTTACTGATAGCTTTCTATCCCCAGCAAAATCATCACATGTGAGTTCCTATAAGGGCAATTTCTGAAGAGCGTCCTTTGGTCTATTAAAATCATATCCTCCCCATTTCATAAAAATTGCTTACGTGTGATGTGTTCCAAATGCAATATCCAACTTTGCCTAGGATGAAAAAAGAAGTCAAGTCACTTATTTAAAAAAAAACTCAGTATTGGAAATCAGAAGAAGATTTAGGGTCAACTTGGTTTTTTCAAACTGCTTTTACTGTCCTCTAGTGGACAAGCCCTTGACTGACATTACAGCTTTTATAGTAGCATCCAGTAAGGTTAGTTTTTAAAAAAAACTTTTAAAAAAAAGTTAACCAGAATGATTCAATACATACTGCATCTTTAATTATAGTAATTAGAAACAGAGAAGCTTAATTTCTTTAGTTGTCAAAAAACTAAAAGAAATGAGGCTCGAAGCTAAGTTCTAAAATGAGATATTTGGCTAATGCTGAAATTAATACAAGCAAAAAGTTTTCAGAGCATATTTAAAAGAAACACTGAATGTGGTGGCAGCATAAAGAATTGTATTATGATGTTAAAACAGATGTTTTCTCACATTAATAACACAGCAAGTGCTGAAAATAAAGAAGATAATATGTTAAATCCATTTTTGTGTTATAATACATTTACAAACAAATGGGGGGGGTTGGGTGGAGAAATAAAACATTTTATCTAACACTCACTATAGTAAGACCTTGATCATTAAGCAGAATATGCCCAAGATGTAGGCTATGAAAGAATTAAAATAAAATAAGAACGTCAAAATATTAATAGCAGTTAGGAACTTAGGAACACACAAATCTTAGCTTCACAACTTTGTATGACTTTGGAAAATATTTAAATCTCTATGCCTCATCTTTCTCCTCTAAAATGAGGGTACTGTTACGGGGTTCAGTGAGTTGTCAGGAGTAAATGAGAAAAAGTATCTGAAGTGCTGAGGAAAGGGGGCTTGTGGGGGTAAACCCACTACTGTACCCTCCCCCCAACCACGTGACAGAAGGGTGGAGCTGTTTGCTGGGGGCAGTGATGGGCAAACGGGAACGCACAGGAGTATGACACAGCCCTGTTTCGGGATGCTCACAGGGCCCAGCCCTCTCTACTCTTACACTGAGCATGCTCATAGGCCAGTATGCACGTGTGTGGTCTGGGCACAGAAGAGAGCAGGGAATTGTTTTTCATGTCTTTAAAATTACAAAACTAGACTGAAGGCTGCCACTCTGTAAACTGATATTTGGCTCAGAAAAAGCAATGGTCAAGAGACTTGGCTTCTGAGCTTAGTTTTGCTATAAGTGGTAGGCTTTTGGGCAAGTCGAAGCACAAAAACAAGGATGGCAATAACTTCAACTGACAACATTTAATGGGTGTTTCCGGGGGCAAATGCACCAAGTGCCTTGCATAAGAACCCTACAGTATTAGCAAGTTTAAAGATGAGGAAATTAGGCTTGAAGCGGTTAAGTGATGAGCCCAGAATGACACACCTAGAAGATGGCAAGCCGGGATCAAACCCAGGCAGGCTGAACCTTGACCACCAGAAGGCCTCAATCTGCGGCCTCCAGCCCCATACGTGCAAAATGGGAGAAGTGTCAGCATCCACTGATCCTTTGATGGACGTCAAAGTCAAGAATTCATCTTACACGCAAGATACAAAGATATTTCAAAAAGTCAGGATGAGCCACGATCATCCTGTACCTCAGACTAGATCTGGGAGCTTCTGAACTGCTCTTTGCACAGGCGGGGAGGCCAGCGGCACGCTTCGCCCTCTAGTGGCCGGCCTGGAGTATGTCATCAGGCACGCCACAACCTCTGCTCAACTTTTCAGTACAGGCCGTTCGTTAGTATTCGAAACATGCTACTTCTATTGATTTAATCACTGGTTTTCAAGATTCCTCTGTTATTTTATTTTCCCGCCTACTTTTGGTCTGAGAGCAATTCTACTGCAGTTTAACCTCTTCTGTTTTGGGGGAAACAAAAGCAAAGACAATGGGATCTTAAGGAACGGCTAAGCAAAGGCATCTCTGTGTAGGCGAGCCACAAACATGTCGGGGAAAGAGTTTTCCAACTCCAGCTACATAAAGCACAGTGGTGAAGTCGCAGCGCTGAAACCCAGCTTTTGAGAGGCACGCTGTCTAACTACAGGCAACCTGAGGACGACTGGAGGTGGGGGAGAGAACAGGGAATCCATGTTACATCAAACACAACTGGGGAAAGCGAGAAACTTAAGGAGATAACTGCAAATATAAGAATCACTGATGCATGCAAGGAGGGGAATCATTCTATGTGGCTCCAGAGAATAAACATTAGGCCTAATGTGTGGAAGTTACAAGGAGGAAGGCTGGGATGGTTAATTTTATACATCAACTGGCTAGGCCACAGGATCCAGACATTTAGTCAGATGTTGCAGGGAAGGTCTTTTTTAGATGAGATTAAGATTTACATCAGTAGACTTTGAAAAAAGCAGATTACCCTCCACAATGTAGGTGGGCCCCATCCAATCAGTTGAAGGCCTTAAGAGAAAAAAGACCCATTTCTTCAAGGAAAAGGAAATGCAATCTCTGGACTGCCTGTGGGCTCAGAGTGCATCAGGCCTCTTCCCCTGGTCTCCAGCCTGCCGGCCTACCCTGTGGGTGTTGGACTTGCCAGCAGCCCCCACAACCACATGAGCCAATTCTTTTTAAAAACATCTCTATATACACACCCACCCACAGCCCTACTGGTTGTTTCTCTGAAGAACCCTGACTAACACAAGAGATATCACGTCAATGTGAAAAAAATCTTTCTAACCACAAGGGCTACCCACCAATAGGGTGGGCTATCTCAGGAAGTATTTGAGCCAAGGCTAGACAAATACCTGCTGGGGATGCTGGAGACAGGGTTCCTGCACTAGGCAGGTGGGCAGACTAAATGTCTGAATTTCCTTCCAACTCTCAGACCAAGCATGCTCTCAAAAGGCAACATGCAGCTTACCTGGCAAAGGGAAATGTTCTTGTAAGGCTTTGCCTCGGCATGTAAGTGAGCCTTAGCTTCTCGTTTCTCACCATGCACAAGCAGGATCGGTGTCTTCCTGAAAATCGATCAGAAGTATTTAAAACACATTGTTCATGGGCCGGCTGAGTGGCACATTGGTTAAGAACCGGCTAGGGATGCCAGAGGGCCCCGGTTTGGATCCCACATGGGGCCAGTGACACTGCCCTCCACCGCTAAAATGGTGAACAACAGCTCAACCTGGAGCTGGGCTGCTGTGAGTCGCCGGCGACGGCGTAGGCTGCAGTCCCTGCTGCAGTGGGCTGCGATAAACTACCTTGTGTGGCCGGCAGCCAGTGTGCGCTGCCAAGAGCCACCATGAGCGGCTGTACAGGGGCCGGCTACTGATCTTCCTCACCCGGGAAGAGCGCAATGATTGTAATACCAACATGGGTCAGTGAAGCAACGTCCTCCACAACTAGACTGAAGAACAAAAGGACAGCAACTTGTTTGTTCCCCTTCCCCCGATTCCCCAGCGCTATTCCCCTCCCCCAATTCCCCAATAAAATCTTAAAAAAATAAAAAATAAAATACATTGTTCATAAAGATGGACTCTCGCCTAGTAAAGGAACACTGGCTTCCTTAGCACCCGACACGTGCTCCTGGCCTCTGTGGTGACTGAGCACAGGGCTAACACACAGCAGTCATCAGGTAATCTTCCCTAACCAGTTACCTTTATAACGGGGCCATGTGGCCTACTCTTAAAGCTCTGTTGCGACCCTGTGGGGTTGTGACTCAAGATAGTCCTTGAGTAATGAATTATTTTCTTTGGTCCCAAAGGGCATATAGCTGGCTCTGTGCTAATATGCTTAAATTCAGGCAGATTAGAAGATACATAATTACTGTTGTATAGCATGATGCTTGTTTCTTTTCCTTCTTTTGGAACAAGCAATGGATTATCTTGTTAGGCTGACAGACACCAAGCTCCTACTGTGTGCTAGGTGATGCACTTGACTCCCCAGGATACAGGAGTCAACAGGCCCAGGACTCGGGCATGATGCAGACTCACTAATAGGTAAGGTTATATTTAAATGAAACAGAGTCCGAGGTACATGGAAAATGCTGTATTTTCGAACTCCTAAAGACAGCTTAAAAATACTCTCCGGGAATAGATCAAAAAGGCTTTTAAGGGAACCATGATCTTCTTTAGTTAATTCAAAGCATGTTAATCCTTAGAAATCAATATACCTTAACAAGTGCTCCCAACAAAACAAAAACTGGGTTTTTTTCTCCAAAGAGCAGTCAAGATGAACAACTGTAGCCACTTCCATGTTTATCAGTCACAGTGCAGGGGATTCTCTACCACACATGAAGGGACAACTACAAAGAAACATTATAGCAAGTGCACCTCCGGTATGAATGCCTGGCTCCCTAATGAGCTTTATTCTAACATATGAGGTCAAATAACACTAAGAACACGCCTTCCCAACTTTTTTCTATTTGGAAAAGTTTTCTATTTTACAACTAGAAAAATAGTACAGAGAATAATGTAAGAGACACTCAAATATCTATCACCTAGATAGTGTTACCAAATCGTCAGGAGTTAAAAAAAAAAAAAAGGATTAAACATTATTGCCAGAAGTTAAAGCCTGAATTCTTTCAAATGTATTGGTTGCATAAATGATCACAAAAAGGCAGTGTGTGATGGTTAATTTTATGTGTCACCTTAATTGGGCCAGTGTCCCGACAAAACATTATTTCTGGGTGTGTCTATGAGGGGGTTTGCAGAGGAGATTAGCATTTGAATTAGTGGGCTCAGTAAAGCAGACGTGGGCATCCAATTGTTGAGGGCCTGAGTAGAACAAAAAGTTGGGAATTTGTTCTGTTCCTGCTGTGGCCAATTACTCATAATAAATCTCCTTCTATATATGTCTCCTATTGGTTGCTTCTCCGGGGAATCCTACTACCAGCAGCATCTGCACGACCAAGTAAGGTGTAAACTGTCACGATCTGAGTTTTTCTGTATAAGTTCTGGATATTACCTTAACTTGACATTAGGTCGTTCCCCCTGACAGTGTTCCTGATGGCAGTCCCCAGGTGCATAAGCGATGAGTGGGTGGCGGGACAGGCAGGGCTCTTCTTTCCCTTTACTACAGTTATCCCGAGTCCAGTGACTACTGTATTCGTTTGCTGGGGCGGCCATAATAAATACCACAAATTGGACGGCTGAAACTGTTGCCACGCAGCTGTCCAGCCGTCTGTCCCCCTGCACTTACCCCTAAACTGACCCTTTTGAGGACACTGCTCATACACCTTGCGTCTCCCCGTTTGGCCCCAAAAGATGGCTGGTTAGCCAATGACGGGTAAGATTCCTCGAGGAAGGAACAACCTAAGACAGGCACAGTCGCATGGGGGCCATCAGGAGAAATCTTGGGGCTGATAGAGGTGGGCATGGGCCCTCACCCGCCCCCAAAGAGACTGGAGGTTTTCTACCTCTGTAGCTACTACATTCCTTCCCGCAACCTGCTTGGGAAGTGACCTGATGATGTGATAGTATCTGTTTATCTTCCTGGAGTCAAATGCGGACGGGTGTGTGAAGGCAGAGCATTTGTCTGGTCATGCGGGCAGACTCTCGGTAACAGCAGCTTGCAGGCATGGGTAATCTGTCATGAGCAAGTTCTCAGAAATGAGACTCAGACTGGAGAGAACAATGCTACTTCCAGGTGTGTGGAGAAATAAAAGCTGTGTGTCAGCTGATTCGGCTCTCAGTCCTCTGAGGCTGGAGACCCTTGGCCCCGCGCTCATTTAACTCTTGGCTGCTGCTTCTTTTCTTTCTTAACCCTTCGCCGCCCCCTCTCGTTTTCTCACTGCCCTTGTTGTGCGGGACGCGACATGAAACCACCGAAATCTTTTGTCTCCGTTCTGGAAACAAGAAGTCTGAGATAAAAGTGCCAGCGGGGCTGGTTCCCTCTGAGGGCTGTGAGGGAAGGCTGTGTTCCTGGCCTCTCTCCTAGCTTCTGGGGGCCTTGGGCGTTCCCCAACTTGGAGATGGTGTTCTCCCCGTGTCTTTACTCGGTCTATGTCTGTGTCCAAATTTCCCCTTCTTATAAGAACATCTGTCATGTTAGATTAAGACCCAACCTAATGACCTCATTTTAACTTACGTCTGTAAAAAACTTGCCTCCAAACAAGGTCCCATTCTGAGGTACTGGGGGTTGGGACTCCAACAGAGCTCTTTTTGGGGTAAGACAATTCAGTCCATAACAGATACTAAAGGAGTTGTGCCCTATACTTTGGCCACACTTGAAAGACATGCCAGTTTGATTCCAAGGTCTTTAAAAGCAAAGGGATGAAAAGCAGCAGTGCCAATGCAACTCCCAGGGTGGCTTCTGGCCAGGGGCCCGTGGCAGAGTGCTCCCTGCCTCCCAATCTACATTCTCCTCTTTCCTAACACAGACCAGGTCTTGTCCAGCACAAGATGTGCTCAGCTAAGACTCCATTTGCAGCCTCTTTCAGAGCTGGTTATAACCATGTGACTGAGTTCCACCCAGTGAAATATAAGCAGGTGTTGTGTGGGATGTCCAGGAAGGCTGCTCCGAGGGGGCACCCCTTTGTCCTGCTCCCCCTTTCTCCATCGTGCCACCTGGAATACAGACCAGTGATCTGGAGCTCTAGGTGCCATCCTGGACCACGGGGTGACTCTGAAGACTGAAGTCACACACACACACCAGGATGGTGGGAAAGAGGGGTGGGTAAGTCCCCGAGAGCCATGGCAGACCCCAATCCAGCCCACGAACGTCTACCACCTGGTCTTCTTAGGCTGGAGATTTTTTCCTTTCTTTCTTTAAGTCACATTATTTTGGGTTTTCTGTCACATGCAGCTAAAACTAATCCTACATGTCACAAGTCAAATATAAGCCCTTCATGCCAAAGCCACTTGGGAAATTTCACAGCATTTTATAGACTGTTAATGATGAAGATTCCCACAGTGTGATCCCTAAATGCACCAAGGACTTTGAGGTCCCTGACGATCATCTTTCCTGTATGTGCATTCCTCCTCCTTGTTACGGATTCTGCCATGTATGTACCCGTGTTAGAAACCGTGGGATGCTACCTTCATTGGTCTGTATTGCCTAACCTCAGGCTGAAGAACTACAGAAGACAGACTGAAAATCCATCACCTCCAGAGCCTGGATGAGGGCCGGTCCTATGACCCCCTTCATTAACTCCTAAACTACAGGAAGAACCATTTGAGAAAGAGATTCTCGGAACAGCCCTGGGTGCTAAGTGAAGCCTGGCGTGCTGGCCACGTGTGGCACGTTCACAGCTGTAGAACGCAGGTGGCAAGAGGTCTCTTCCTTCACATTAACACTGGACATCAAGTTCTCTTATTTGGGTTAGAATTTGTCCTTATCTACTTCTGGACACAACAATGGGGGAACATGCTAAAATCTGTACAAGGAATGCATGTGATTAGAATAGGTCAAAAAATGCCATTTTCCCAATAGACTTTAGTGTCTGTATGATTTCGATGGTCTCAAAAGACATACTCAAAAAAATGGCCGGCAGCTGTCGGAGAAGCACAAATCTTGGTTTAAAGCCCCATTACAGTTACGATGCCATCTATCATCCTGTGGAACTCACCTGAACTCTGGTGGATACTGTTTTATGAGCCAGTCCACGTCAAAGCAGTAGTTAAACTAGATGGGGAGGGAGAGAAAAGGAACTAAGTCACGGGTCATTTAGCCAAGCAGCCTATAAGGAGAACTATCTGGTTATTAAACTGCAAGAGACTCTAAAATAACGACGAACTACATATTTTATTTATAAACCTGGAGAGTGATGCTACAATACTCATAAACAAACCTAAAATACATCTTGAAGGGAATACATGGTTCAAGGAATCAGTGGAGCGCATGAGAAATCAGGTGCTAAGGAGATTCTCTCTGCATACTTTGGCAGCATTTGTTTTCGTTACTTCTGAGGGCTCTCTGAGTAATTTAAATAAAAGGAATCATAAATGTATCCTCTTTCCCCTAGGTGATTATAAAAAGGACTTTTGGAAAAGAACATTTTCTTTCAGTCTAACTTATGCACTAGCTTTGTAAAAAGGCATCTTGACTAGACATTCACTAGGCTTAGAACAATTACATCTTGACCCCCAATTCTACACTGGGCTTACCTGTGGGGGATCCTCCCCACACCTGGGTAACCCGTGACCCTCCTCCTGGACACAGTGATTCAATGTAGCTAAGAGAACTTACACAGTCACACCACCTTCCATCTGGAGACCAGGTGGAACATGACAAGAACAGAAAGTCTTGCTTGCTTTCTTTAGGGACATGACCTTTTTTCGGACTATTTACTAGAAAGCCTGGAGCATTAATGTGATTTTATCAACACAAAGGCACCAGCTCTGTCAGGCAGGAGCAAACATGCAGAAGTAGCCACAACTGTTCCTTACTTCTTTTTGGTAGGTGCTGGAAATTTCTCACTTTTCTAAATCAAATCAAACTTGACTTGGCCTTCACTTCTCTACGCACACCACCGGGGGGCAGGGCTTGCACCACTGTCCCATGAGATTACCAGAGTCCCAAATAGAAGTCCCTCAGGCTGTAATTTCTAGAGAGACTTCTTAGCCAGTCCTTGTAGCCTAATTCAGAGGCAGGAGCTGCACTGACAGTGGCATCCATGTTCCATGCTGACGGCTGTAGATCCCACAACTGCAGTTGTGGTATGTGCCATCTTGGAAACCCCTGCACAGGACTAAGACACAGGTCCCACCACTCATATTTTCTTATGCAGTTGTTTAATTATTTGTCCCATTTCATAAAACAAACAAAAAACCAAAAACCAATAAAAAACCACAACCGTAAACTCACCTGTGCTGAAGATACAAGCGTCCCAAATAGAGGAGATAAAATATCTGAGAAGACAAAACATTTAAATCTAATTTATACTTTGACAAAAATTCTCTAGTAATAATAATCACAACTGACTTATTTAATAGTCACCGATGATCAAAGTTTGGCTTAGAAAACAGTGAACTGAGATGTTAAAAAGCTAGCCCCTTTAATGTTTCAAGAGAAAACTTCTCTGCGCTATTTAATGATACTTATTATGTATTCTTTAACAAAATATGATGCCAAATTAAAATCCACAACTTCAATGCTGGATGACTACTCAATTTTAGAAATTGCCAAAAAAGACAATGATACACGTTCTTCTTTCCAGGTCTCTTGCTTTATATCTCCTTCAAGTACTCATTCAAGTTCCTCTCCAGGAAACCTGCCTAGTAAGATGGTTCTCCTCCGGAGCCTGAGAGCCTTGCTTCCTGAGGAGGAAAGGGCAGAGGCGCCCACAGCTCTAAGTTCGCCTTTCTAGCATTCCAGGTCATCTCTGAGGAGGCCCCTATCTCATGCGCATTCAAGCTTGACTTCTGGTAGGTCAGAAAGCTCACTTCTCATAAACTACATCATGAGGGGAATTATCATTATCACCATCACCGGTTCTAACAGCCGCACTTGTGCAGGACCTCTGAGGTGTCAGGCACCGTTCTGGGCACTTTCCATGTATTAACTCTTACTCCCCACAGCAATCCTCTGCGGTGGGGTGTGTCATTCCTATTTTGTCAATGAGAGGTCTCTCCTTAGGAGGCCACCCATGGCCACACACCTGGAGTAGTCAGATCTGAGCCCAGGCTGTGTGCCTCCAGCACTTCTGCTCTTAACCACCAGTGTCTCTGAGGATTAAGAAGGGGCTCATTCATTCATTTGACCCATATTTCCTGAGTGCATCCTATCTCCCAGACATGAGCCAGATTCCCCGGAACAAAGACTTTTAAAAGAAGAAATCCTCTTAAAGAACCTGTATCTTTCTGGGAGAGTTGCACCATCAAGAGATAAAATGCCATACATTCCTTGATGGCATCTTCTATTTTGCCCCAATTGGCCACTCTTTCTACCTTTCTAAATTTTGCCCATCTTTTGTGGCCTATTTGAAGTCCCTCTTCCTCCATGAGTTCTAAACAATCTATGATTTTGAGAGACCATATGCACCACTCCACGTGTTGGAGCAGTATATCAGTTAAGGGCATAGATTCTGATGCTGAATGCTGGGATTGAAATCCCAGCTCTATCATTTACCAGTTCTGTGACCCTGGGTAGGTCATTCAACTTCCCTAAATTGCAGATCTGTCACCGATCCAAGGAGGACAACTGTAACATCTACTCATAAGGCTGTTGTGAGGATTAAAGTAGATAGATACTCTATATGAAAGCTCCTATCTTAATGTTACCTCCCCTTCCTCAAAATCTTGGTGCTAATAGTCGTCTTTATCATTTTATTATATACAGCAAAACCTTACATAGTTCTCTAATGATTTCCTGTCAATCTCTCGCAAATAAAACAAAACAAAAACACTGAGATCTTAATATTTCTTCAAAGTACCTAGACAAGAGATTCTCAAAATGAAAAATAAAAAACCATATTCCCTTACAGTATGGAATTAAATACACCAACATTTATATACCACACAGAAGATATACACATATGATATACAATTATACATTTGATATGTAATTAAAACACTGCTGATAGTGCACATACTCTATTCTTGAGTGTGGACTAGAAAAAAAGGTAATCTGAAATAAGGGTAATGTTTGTTTTGTACATCTGCCATGTGAGTATATTATGCTGATCACTTCATGTATTTTTCTCCCTTTTTTCTGAATCACCAGTTTAAATATGAGTAAACTGAAATTGGAAGAATGTTAGGTCCTGCATTTGTTATCCACACAGCAAATGAGTGGTGAGGCCAGAATTCAAATGCTGTGTCTTGGATTCTAGAGCACCTGCTGTTTGTTCTTCCTTAAAGGAAAACTTTCTCTTCACCTGATACTTCTGACACCAAAGTGTGGGGTTTTGCACACAGATCGATTCTCTAATTCTCTGCAGACAGCAGCTGGGTGTCCTACAATTTCATTCAAGTCTGACACCATCTACCTGGAGTTGGCATCAGGTCCCACAGGTTAAGGGCTCTGTCCCACAAGAATGCTCCCACCTCAGACACCAAACACAAGTCCAAGTCCAGACCTCCTCTACTTCTGACTGTGAAGCTGTAACTTGGGGTTTCCACAAACCCCTCCTGGGGTTTGATAATTTGCTAGAAAGCCTCACAGAACACAGGAAAGCACTTTACTTACTATGTTACTGGTTTATCATAAAAGGATACGACTCAGGAAGAGCCAGATGGAAGAGACGCATAGGGCAGGGTATGGGAGAAGGGGTGTGGACCTTCCATGCCCTCTCCAGGTGCGGCCTTCCAGCACCTCCACGTGTTTACCAACTTGGAAGCTCTCCATCCCCTTCAGTTAGGGTTTTATTTAAAGCAGGTTTCATTACAGGGGCATGCTCAATTAAATCATTGGCCATTAGTAATGAGCTCAACCTCCAGCCCCTCTCCCCTCCCTGAAGGTGAGGAGTGAGGCTTAAAGTTCCAACTTTAATCAGTAATTGGTTCCCCTGGCAATCAATCCCTCATTTTTAGGGGCTTTCCAAAAGTCACCTCATTAACATAAAGTCAGGTGTGGTAGAAAAAGGCTTGCTATGAATAACAAAAGATACTTCTTTGACTTTTACTATTTAGGAGCTGTTTCAAGAGCCTGGGACAAAACCCAAATATAACCAGGGATGAAGGTCAAATATATACCACAATCTCCCCAGGTCCCCCTGGGAAAATAACTCAAACCACCAAAGGCCACCTTTTGCTTCTGAACTGAAACATCTATCTACATGCTGACATTCTTTTTTTGCTTCTTCACAAGGAACCAAAACCAGGCTTCCAAGCAGAGGTTCTCAAACTTGATTGGGCATTAGAATCCCCTAAAAGGATTGTTGGGGCCTTTGCTCCTAGAGTTTGATTCAGTGAATCTGGGTGGTGCCCAAGAATGTGCATTTTTAACAAGTTTTAGGGGGATGCTGATCAAGTATTTGCTACCATTAACGAATTGCTACTGATCAAAGTTTAATCTTTAACTTAAAGTTAATCAATTCTAAACATTGCGCTAAGTGTTTCAACTGGTTGGTTGGTCTGTAGGAAACACCCTCTGATTTCCTGACCTAAGTAAACAGTTCGCTGTCAAACTCATGCACTTGGTTCCTCAAAATGGTATTTTTCTTTTTCCTGTGTAGTTAAAACCATGAAGAAGGGTTCTTGGAGATCATTCCAGGCTATGCTCCTGGTTTCCCCAAGGGACACCAGCACACTTACCCTTGATGTGGAGGGCTCCCGAGTTATACTTTGGCTTAATTCCCGAGACTCTAGTGAGGTAAAATTGGAAGGGGTTCCCTTTATCCAACATGTCCCAAATGTCCTGGCCCTCCCCTGACGTTTCGTACTCTTCTTCCTCCTCTTTGAGCCCCTGGCGGACATGATCTCCAGCTCTTGGGGCAGCACTGTCTTTGAGAGGGGAGAGGTCTTTCTCCTCTTTGATCACCACTTTCTCAGCCCGCTTCTGCTGCGTCTCTGGTGGCAGCTCATCGTCGCTGCTGGAGAGACACCAACCCAGGTCTTCCTGGGAACCAGTCTTCTGCCTTTTGGGAGGTGAAACTTCTGGAACTGCACCTGTGTTGCTGAATATCACGGGAGACATTTTCCGCTGGTGGGCAGCTTTCCGAGCATCCGAACAGGTGTATCTTGGCTCATATGCTGCTTCCTGCCCAGCATGGGGGAGAAGAGAGGTAGATGGCTTGTTCAGTTTGGGCTTTTCCTCCTCACTTTCATCACTACTGGATATCGTCCACTTCCCATAATCGCCTTCCTGAGACATTATACTTCTTCTGGAGACAAGATAGAAATATCATTATTTTCCATTCCCATAGTTGCCACTGGAAAACCCTACTGCTCTTGAATTCCCATCATATAAGCATCCACAACACATACAATGAACCTGACACCTACCAGATGCTGAACCACGTAACCAACATCAGCGACTTTATAGCTGTTTGGAAGCGTGTGACCAGAATCTACTATAGGAATTTGGCAAATATAGCGACAGCAAAAATCCCGGTCACCTTCTCCTCCTCTCCCTTGGTCTTTCAATCTAGACCAGTGGGTCTCAACCTTCCTAATGCCGCGACCCCTTAATACAGTTCCTCATGTTGTGGTGACCCCCAACCATAAAATTATTTTCGTTGCTACTCCATAACTGTAATTTTGCTAGTTATGATTGTAATGTAAATATCTGATATGCAGGATGTATTTTCATTGTTACAAATTGAACATAATTAAAGCATAGTGATTAATCACAAAAACAATATGTAATTATATATTGTGAAATATTTATAATTCATGAAGTGTCGTTTTCTCCAATACTGCTGCTTTCAACACAGCAGCTGCTTTCTACCCAGTAGCTGCTCTTTACACATGTGTGACTGGTCCGCATAAGTACATTATGGCGCCAACCCTATTACATACACCTGTATTTGTACGGGGTGTATGTGATGGGGTTGGCGCGATGATGTCATCACGCTGGGTACTTGTATGTGGGCATATCTGCATGTGGGCGAACCCACCTGGAGACAGATAGAGGAGCGGTGTCTCGGTTCCTAAGACCATCGAAAATATGTGTTTTCCGATGGTCTTAGGCGACCCCTGTGAAAGAGTCGTTTGACCCCCAAAGGGGTCGTGACCCACAGGTTGAGAACCGCTGATCTAGACCTTATTCTTAGATGCCCCAGGAAAGGGATTGAGCCAAAGTTCAAAACAAAATGTTTTTTCTTGACCCTGACGCTTCCAACAGGTGCTTGGTGCTAAGGCCAGTTTAAAGAATTTCGAGAGTAATTCTGATTATGCTCAAATTTTGATTTACAGCTCTGTCCCTCAACAAAGTTAGAGCTTTTATCAAGGACTGAAAAAAAATTGTGGATGCAAATGAGTACTCCATAAAGCTGCTAACTCTTCCTCTCCCCCCACCATTGCACACCCAGCTGGGTGACCAGTTCTTTCACACTTCCAGCTGCTTAAAAAGCTTGCAGACCATCAGTAAGACATGGGAGCCAGGCTCCTTAACTGAGACTGTCTGTGTGGCCAGTCGTGGGCAAACGTAAGTCCCACTTTCAAATCCAGTCATTACTAGGTAGTAAATCTACACTTGGGCAGGTTACATAACTGCTGAACCTCCGTTTCCTTCTCTGTAAAAGGGGTATCATTCCTACCTCCCCGAGTTCATTCATTCAACAATTCCTTATTGGGCAGCTACTATGTGCCAAGCACTGGTCATAGTTAACAATATAAAAACGGTTTCTGCCCTAAAAGAGCTTATGTTAGGGAGGAAAACATGACTAACACAAAAATAAACAACATCAAAAAGCCAAGATACTGCTACAGACATTCCTTACATTTTACAGGTATGAGACAGACTGGTAGGAATGCCTGCCGCAGGGCTCGGGAAGCTCAGAGAGGCGGTGGGGATGGACTCAAGTGAGCAGGTTCGGGGTAAGCTGATGAAGGACAGCTGCTAACTTTTTTTGTGCGCTGACCTCGGGCCAGGCACAATTTGAAGCGCTTTACGGGGTACAAGCTCATTTCATTTTCACAAGTCTACATTAAGCCCCACGACTGTTCCCATTTATGGGGAAACAGCACAGAAAGGTTCAGTGCCTGGCGTAAACGCTCAGCGTGCGCTAGCGATCACTCCTAACAGCCGAGAGCATCCATCTATACGTGGAGAAGCCGGAATAAGAACCAGAGCAGGGGGACCCCTCGCACCCTACTCCCGGCAGGACTCGGGTGCCTGCAGCGCCTGCTGCTCGCGCCTAAGAGGTAGCCGAGGCCCAGGAGGGAACCCTACCTAGTGTCTTTACAAGATGCTCCCCTCCCCTCAGGATCCGCCTTCAGCCCCACCAGGGATTCACGACTTCGCGGGACCCTGCGCACCGCGACCGACCCGGAAGAAGCAGGGTCGCTGGTCTGCTTCACCAGCCACAGCAGCGCGCACACCTGAGAATCCCGGAGTCTGCGGCAGCCCGCGCCTGCGCGCAGTTCAAAGACTCCCGGCCGCGGCGCGCACCTCATGGCCCTGCCCCTTCCCCTTCCCCTTCCGGGACGCCCCGCGCTGGGTCCTAAAGCTGACCATATTAAGAGGAGCCGCCAGGAGCTCTCCCAGGAGGGGGAGGAAAGGAGACCCGGCCGCCTCCAGCTCTCCGCTCACCTCCTGGCCATTTCTACAAAAAGGGAGAGAGGAAAAAGAAGTGTTACCTCCTTTCTCCCTTCATTAATTAGCAAAACTCATTCCATTTACAGGGATTTTCATAGACAGCTTCAGGCTCCCGGGGAATCGATGCTGGGGGGTTTCTTTTAAAGGCAGAGACAGGATCAGCTGAGGTTCGAGGCTGCTGAGAGCTGAGACCTGTGTCCCGAGAGAAGCGGGATTGCCTGGGGCGCACACTGTAAAACCTGCTGTGAAATAAAAGGTTAAATGAGCTCCCATCGGATTCGACCTCGAATGCCTGTGTGTGTGAGTGTGTGTGTGTGTGTGTTAATCTTACTCTTTGCCAGAAGAAGGGTCTAAGATAAACTCCTTTGCAAAACGGAGCTCTCTCCATATTCCTTGCCTTTAGTACGGATGTTTGCTATCGAATTTAGGCTCAGTACTATTTATACTATTTATTCTCGGAGTTTCTTTCATACCAGGCTCCTCTCCCAGAGGATTGAATGAAATAACTGCCGTAAAAGTCCTAAGGACTCAGTTGGTTTACTTTGTGCCAGGCATCATGCTAGGTGTTACCGGAGGGATAAAACAGACTCGGGAGGGTTCGGACCCCAATGGCTTTCTGATCTGTATGTGAATTCTATACTTGGCTCGTTTTGTTTGGTTCCTTTTATGCTTTGTTCACACTCTTTGTGTCTCCAGTAATATCACAGTGCTGTAGATAAAAATTATCAAAAGTAATTTATTGCAAGGTGTGGGGAGAGAAAATGAAAGGAATCACGGAGGACGTATCGCAGCATCACCTAAGTAAGCTGGATTCCCAGCCGCGCCTAAGGAGTTAAGGGGACTAGGCGGGGCGGAGCCCAAGGCTGGGGGCGGGCCTGGGAGCGTCCTCGCCATAGGCTGTTCCAAGGAAACGTTGTTAAACAAAGCCTCTGGGCCAATAGGACTGCGGGATCAACGTCAGTGGCTCTCAGGTCGTCCAATGGGAGAAGACGTTGGAGGTGCCCGGCCAAGTTTAGCTTCCTGAGGCACGGTGAGCGTGGCCGGTGGTCTGCTGCACTTCAGGTCCCTGCCGCTGAGGTCGCGGGTTCCGAAGAATCGACTTGGTTGCCACGTGGCGGTCGCGATGTTTTTCTCCCAGGCTGGGGCCCGACCGCGGACGTGGGAAGCCAGCCCCTCAGAACACAAGAAGTGGGTGGAAGTAGGTGTCCGGAGGGCTGAGTCTCGGATTTTAACTTGACTCGGGGCTCTCACTGTGGTCTCCCCGTCTGGGTCTTACTCAGCCTCGTTGCACAGACAATGACTGGACTGTCCTTCTAAAGTGTCATTGTTAATGACTGAGCCTAGCGCTGCAAGGCTTCTGGCTCCCTGTCCAGTGTTTTGGCTACTTCTAAGTTCTTTCTCCACTCCCCAGCCCCCTTTGCCTAACCTTCCTAATTCTACGACCGAATTTTGTGTAGAATTTAACCCAATGGTTAGAAGGAATTAATTTGCGTCAGTTTAGCGATTAACTCGGTGGAGCTTTTGAGGGGTAAATTTTAGCCCATCAATAATATTTCTTGAGAATTAAAAGTAGGATAATGAAAGTCTAATTTTGATCCCCACTGTTGGGCTGAGTTTTAGATTTTTCAGATTCAAATGTAATATAAACTATTAATAAAACATGGATTCTGTGTTGACTAAAAATATTTTAATGCTCCTCAGGTATTCAAAGCATGTGATGAAGATAAAAAAGGCTATCTAAGCAGAGAGGACTATAAAGTTGCTGTTGTAATGCTGTTTGGGTACAAGCCCTCCAAGGTAGAGCTTTCTTTATGTATTTGGGGATGGGACAGACAATGCAGGGACAATTATGAGTGGATCCTAGATATTTATGAAGTTAATCACTGCCTTATAAACAATTTCAGAGACGTGCCCCGTGCTGAATTTTACTCTTTCATCTTAAGAACCCAACTCCGGGATGAATTAGAAAGCTATCTCATTAGAGCCCACAAAGCCTATCTCACCAGGCTGCTAATAATTATAATAAGAGATGCCGGAGAGGTAGCAAGAGGTAAGGCTGGGAGGGGGTGTTGGTGACAGGAGGAATTCACAGAGGAAGTGCCATGCAGGGTTATTTTTATTTAAAATTTTTTTGCTTCATTTAAATTGTAGAAGTGATAAATGTACATACTCAAAAATTCAAAAAGTGCAGAAAGGTATAAAGTTGAATGTAAACTCCTCTCCCTCCCTACCAGAGCATGAAAGCATGCACCACCACCACCTCCACCACATTAAAAAAAAACCAAACCAGTTGCACAGTATGCCCATTATCCAGTTTCCTGGTTTTGGTCATTTAGATTCTTTCCCTTATTGTTTGTTCCTAAAACATTGCTGCAATAAGCATGCTTTTATATATGTATCATTGTGGATGTATATTTGTGGAATAAATTCCTAAAAGTACAATTCCTAGGTACATTTGAAATTTTGTTGGATATTGCTCTCCAGGAAAGGTTGCATTAATTCACTAATAATGAGAGCTAAACTGAGCTTTGAGGAACCTCCTACTTTGGTAGGACAAGTTTCCTGTCATCCCCGTCTTTGTGCTGCTCCCCTTGCCTGTTACTTCACATTCTAGAAACGGATCCCTTTTGTTAAGCTGCTGAACTGGAATGAATCAGAGGCAAGATCTTGTTCAGGCTTAAGAGATTCATCTGTAGTCATGGAGCAGAGAGAGCACTCAGGGCTTTGCCTGCAATGCCCTGCCTCATGCCCTCATTAGAGCAAACAGCTGGCCATCACTTTGGCTCGTTGTTCAGGAGTGGCCTCGATCTGTCAGATGGCAAGCCCAGTGAAGCCAGGGACTACGTGATGTCGCACTTCTCCTTTGTTATACTTAAATGCATCACAAAGTCACGGTAAATATGGTCTGTTGACATAAATAGGTCCCATGAACACCTATTGGTGGGTTCAGAGTGGTTCGACTCAAATACTAAGGGATGTTAGTTACTGAGAGGCTGATTGTGGAGCTCAGAGGAGTAGTTAGGCCGGCTCCCAGAAATGGCAGCTCTCTTGTTAACATGCAATCATTTCAGCTGAAATTCCAAAGCAGGTCAGCGAAGCTGACTCGGCCTTTGAAGCACCCTGTTAACCTGGGTTCAGCTGGAAAGATATCTGGTCTCCTGCCTTTATCACCCTTAAGTCTACTTAGTTGGTTTTAATTTTAGAATATAAGTGAGGAATTTAATGACAGATACAGTGATGTGGTAACTTACGTGTGCATAGTCCATTAAATTTAACAGATTTCTACTTTTATTTTCATACTTGGTTGAGGTTTTGGATTTTAGTTTTTAATCAAATGAAATGTTTATTGACTACAAACCACTGAGCAGTAAAGTACTTACACAGCAAATCACATACACTTAACAGTCGTTTGTACAATGAACTTAAATGTGTAACACTTAATGTGTACCCTTTTCACAGCATGTAAAATGTGGAATTTAACAGATTTTTACTTATATATTAGGTTGAGGTTTGGGGTTTTATTTTTGAATATTGCTTTTGAGCAAATTAAATATTTACTGAATGCAGGTCATGAAGCAGTGAAGCACTCGTAATAAATCACTTATACACTCATGCAGTTGTTGACACAATGAAATGTATTAAGTAAAGGCTCCTATTTAATAAAAAGACCACTTTCTCGTTGCTAGAGATATAAAGATGAAGGAAGCATAGACCCTACTTTGAAGCAGTTCACAGTTTAGTGTAAAGAGACTTAGAAAACTCTGTGATAAACACTAAGATAGAGAAAAACAGAAAGGACAAAAGTGAGGGGGACAATGAGGCGGGTTAGCGTCTAATGATAACTGTTCTATGGTCTGGGCGTCATTTAGGCTAAAGGAGCTAGACTCCAGATAGGATGAGTCTGGGAGTGCTTTGTGGCGGTGGAAGTTACGCCTTGGTGACTGATTTAGTGTGGTGGCGGTAAGAGCAGTGTGACACCAGGACTGAAGCAACAGCGATACCGCCAAGGGGAAAGTCAATGAGTTGCGATGGGGGCACGTTAAGTTTGAGGAGGCTATGAGCACACCAAGTGCATTCACTCGTTAAATTCTGTGCTGGTGTCCAGGTTATGGTGGTAAAGACCTGCTCCCAGAGTGTGCTGCCTCTCTTAGGTACAGGAATCTGAAAATGGGTGGACAGGGGAGGGCCGGAGACAGACTGGGGACTCCTCCGGTGGAAGCTCAAAACGGGGGACTGGATGGCATTGCCCAAGAAGAGTGCAGAGTGTGAAGGGCAGTAGCCTGAGGGTGGAACATTGGGGAGGACCAGCATTTAGAGGCAGGCAGGACTCCATGAAGAAGATGCGGTGGGAACCAGCTGGGGGAGGCAAGAGGAACCAGGAATGCCGGGCAGGTGGAGACACTCTGTCAGGTGCTGCAGAGGTTCTAATTCCATAATGTTTATAATGCCCTTGTAACAATACGGAAATGCATGTATTTTAATATTTAGTGAAGGCAGGACCCCCAACTTCATATACAGTCTGTTCTCAAATATGTTTAAAATGCACAGGGGAGGAAAATAGCTAGGCAGGCCCAAATGTTAACAATGGTTTTCATTGAAGGCTGGTTTAAAATTTTTTCTTCTTCATAATTTAAAAATATTTTTTTGTGTTTTCTGCATCATGTTACTTTTACAATCAAGAAAAAAAAGAAGCCATAGAGTCCATTTCTGTATTTGTCTAAAATGGAAAGTTTACCTTTTAAGTTATGTTACACATGTGACAGCCTTGTTGGTTTTACTTGCTTAATGTTTTGGTCAATGCAGTAGTTTTTGGGGTCATTAAGAGTCTGTTACGGATTTGCTTCTGGTATCTTATAGATATTGATGGAAGAGTAAAATGAATATTATCACTGTCCTGTGACATGACTTGTCTACTCGGCTCAACAAAGTTGGTTTCTCATAAAACACATCCCTCCCCACACCCCAGGAATTAAGAATGTGCACTGTGAAAATATTTGATGAAATCATATGTCCTATTTTTCTTTCTTCTTTCTAGATAGAAGCTGATTCTGTGATGTCTTCCGTAAATCCCAGCACTTCCGGTAATTAATAAAGTTAATATTAATTTTTAGTACCCTTGTTTAGACATTCATAAAACTAAAATTAAGAGCATATAGACTATAAAGCATTGTGTATAAGCGCATCTTTGTTTTGTTCTGTTTCAAAGAAAGAAGTTTTGGTTCTTTTAGTTTTGATTAATTCATATACTCATAAGTATATATTATAGGAAAATTTGAAACTATTGAAAAACATAAAGAAAAAAATTGTCGCTTATAATCTCAACATCCAATGAATGACCTGGGTTTTCCAACTTGAGTAGCTGAACGGGCAAAAGCAGCACTTCCTGAAATGGGAGGATGGGAGAGTTTTGGCTTAGGAGGAGAGCAAGAGTTCAATTTTGAATATGTTAAGTTTGAGAAGATTTGAGCAATGAGGTCAAGGCAGTCGGGCTGTATGAATAGTGAATTCAGAGAAATTCTGGGCTGAAGAAATAAATTTGTGAGTCATCAGCGCTTAGATGGTGTTTGAAGCCATGGGAATGGATGAGACCACCTAGCAAGACAGAATGGACTGGGAACCTTAGGAACTGTACCTTTAGAAATCAGGTAGAGGATGAGGAAATGGAAAAGGAGACTTATCTGAGGGGCAGGAGGAAAACCAAGAGTTTTGAGTCAAAAGCCAAGAGAAGTGGATATTTCAAGGAAGAGGTTGTGGTCAATGCTATCAGATAGGCTGTGGAGAAGTCAAGTAGCATAAGAACCGAAGCAGATCCATTGGTGTTCACAATCTTGGGGTGTTTGGTGACCTTAGCAGGAGCAGTTTCAGTGTGGTGATGGCTGAGGCCATGCTGGAATGGATTGAAGCTAGATGGCAAGTGAGAACGTGGGCCAACATGAGTATGTGAGTAGATAAGTCTTTCAGAAGGACCAGAGTGGCGGTTAGCTTTTCTATTTTTATTTTTGGAACATGAAGATGTATCTCAGTTTAGCAGAATGATCTAGTAAAGAGGGAAAAGAAAGATGACAGAGAGAGAGAGATGACTACCTGTTTGAGGAGGCAGCGTCCAGAGCATGCTGGTTTGGCTTTTTAAAAATTACTTTTTTTTTTTTAGAAATAATGTAAAATAGTACAGAGAATAGCTGTAGACCCTTTACCCAGATTCACTTATTAACATTTTACCCCGTTTGCCTTCTCACTTGTGCTTTGTATCAACACCCCTCCTCTTGCCACACTGTACATAGCCACAGCACACTTACCAACTTCATAAATTTATACTGATACAGTATTTTAATCTGACTTCCCATCTATTTTCCATTATTGTCACTTGATCTAATAATATCCTTAGCAGCATCTTTTCTTGTTTATTACAGGAATTTTTCTTTGATGTTGTGTCTCTTTAGCCCCTTTTCATCTGGAATATTTCTGTAGACTTTTTTTGCCTTTTTATAACATTGATATTTTGGGGGAAATGGCCCACCCCTCACTGCTTAGTTTTGTTTTCTTTAAGAGCAATCCTCATGTTGAGCCTGCCTGATGTTTCTCTAATTCGTTTGAAGTTCAGCATTCTCAGCCACGATACTATTTATGTGCTGTGCCGTTCTCAAGGTGCCACATCTGGAGGCACACAATGTCTGTCTGTCTCTCCTAGATAATTTTTATCACTGGTCGAGATGTCCAGTTTCTCCATTTTATTATTTCTTTTTATGTTTTCTTCCTTGTGACTAATAAGTAGTCTGTGGAAGGACACATTTAAGACATTGCAAATATTCTGCTTCTCACCCCAGTTTCCCCCTAGATTTGGTATCCGTTTATGAGTCTCGTTTGATCCAGTTTTTGCCATAATGGTTACAAAGTAATGATTTTCTAATCCCAGTACTTCTTTCAGTTAGCTGTTGGTATTTATTTTACCATAATCAAGAGACCTCCCTTATTCCTTATCTATCTACCTTATCAGTATGGACCCATTAATGTGTATGTTTTTAATGACTTGTAATCTTTTACTGTACTTAATTATTTTAATGTTCAACTTGACCCAGGTTTGGCCATTGAGCGCCTTCTCAAGCTGGCTCCTCTGTGCTTTTGACTGGTTTGACTTTTTCTGTAAAACTATTTATAAATGTTCAATTTACAAAAGAGTTTACTGGTTTGTTTTTCTGTATACGAAGTTTGGTATCACATATGAAACATGAATTTTAGAACAATATTATTGCTAGCAGAACATGTTGTTTGCATCCTCTTTACCTTGATGGGTTATTCAAATATTGTTTCTTTGATGTTCAATTAGTTGTAACTTCTTGGTCAGCCTTCCCTACATTTTTTTTTTTGGGGTTTCTACGTGAATATTCTAATCTACAAAGATTTCTGTCTTTTGGACATTTCCCACGTTTTTTGTATTGATGTGGTTTCTCCCCTGTAGGAGTCCCCTGAGAGCCAGGGAGTGATTTTGTCTAGATGAAGGTCTTTCCCCACTCATTCTATTTATATAGCGTCTCCGTTTTGTGACTTTACTGATATAGCAATTGTGACTGTTGCTGAAGGCACTCTCACATTCATTATTTTAATAGATTTTCTCCCGTCTGTATAAGCTCTGATTCTGGTTTGACTTCACACAGGTTTTCTTTTCTTACCCAGCTCTTTGATGTACAGAGAGATGTTACTTTGGAAGAAAGATTTCCCACGTTATTTACAGGTGTAGTAACTTCTCTGATGTCATTCATATAATGCCTGCAAGACCAGTTTGGATGCTGGGATGGTGTTGATTTCCAGCAGAGCTTTTCCCCACATTCAATATCATAAATTCCTCCCACCTCCCCCATGTATTAATGTATTATCTCACGTTTAGTAAGATCTGACTTCATAAAAAGGTTTTTCCACGTGTGTTCCATTCAGATGGGTTTTCTCCTCTATGGTTCATTTGATACACAGTGACAGATGAGTTCTGGCAGCAGGTTTTCCCCCCTTCTCCCCGACTGCTCTGATAAAGTGAGGCCTGACTGGTGGCAAAAGGATGGTCCAAATGTCCCTTGTTACTTTCCTCCCGTATGTTTTCTTATTTCTGATGTTTGAGAGAGGATTGGCTTGTGGCTTAAGATATGTTCATGAAATTTATAAAATTTCATCTCCTTTATGAGTTCTCTAATTCTTGAATTTTGACTGATGCAGAAATACTTCTCATATTTGTTGCTTCCACTTGATGTGGGTACCAACGTACATTGGAGCTTTAGCTTTTGGACAAGAGTTCCTCTATGTTCACGTGGCCCGTCCCATGCCTGAATTCTCTCAGACATAATGAAGACGGCCTTATTAGGGAACAGTTTTTCTCAAATTCATTATGGCCTAAGGATTGCTTCCAAACTGCAGTTTTTTTGATACTGAAAGTTGTCTTCCCTATGAGGGCTTTCCGTCTCTGATGATATACCCCCAGACCTGCTCCCGTATGCATTTCCTTGCAATTAATAGCAAGGATATTACATCTCCTCTTGCATCCACTTCTCAATCAAATCATTAGGATGCTTCCTCTCACAGCATCTTTTCCTAATAATTAATTTTAAAATATATTTCAAAAGGTTACAAAGTAAATTAAGTCACCTGAGAAATTCAGGGGAAGATTGTGTTGGAGGAATGAGATCAAACTGTAGGTGTTTAGCACCTTGCTCCCAAATTACTGTGAAAGGACTCTCTTCAGTCAACAGCCTCCAGTCCTTTATCTTCCTCTCCTGGTCTTGATACCAATGTCAAGTTAATTTTCTCAAAGCATCTTTTCATGATTTAAAGGAATACACTTATATCCAGGGTACTCACTCTCTAACTAGCTTCAATTTGTGTTCACTTGAAAGGAGAGACTCCAGACCACAAACATCCAAGAGAAAGAGTAAAATAGCCATCCTAGCAAGAAATTGCTGCTGAACTCTGAGTACCGCTAACATAATTTTTTGCTACTAGAACTTTTCAATACTAAACCAATTTCAGAACATCAGCTCCCTCTTATCTCCTTTTCAGTGACATAAGTCATATTCATACGTTCTTCTTGCAGGGAGAGGGTTTCTGCACAGATTAAATGTTTTTTTCCCATATGTATTCTCTCCCTTCTTAACGTTTGATCTTGAAGAAGAACTGAAATGTTGGCCTTGGCTTTCTAATTGCTACTTATTCAGGTAATCAACTTTTCAAAGGTCTTCTGGGTAGCTGTGACTTGGGAATTCTCCTGCTAGCTGTAGCTCTAGCATCCAAAGCCGTGCCAGGTCTCCAGCGTGCCAGGATTCTTTGTATGGTGCCCAATTTCCTCCCAGCTTCCTGGGTGAAGTCCATACTCGCATCCTGGATTGACCCTGACTCGGCAGAGTCCTGATGATGCGCACACTTCACACGGCACCTAAACCTGGATGTCCAGATCCTCATTCCCAAGAGCTTCTCGTCTCTCTAAAAGTGGGTCGTTTCTGTAGAGGTTCCTTGTGAGCATTGAGTGAAAAGTTCAGTCGAAGCTGTTAGAAATAAGAGTGAAATGTCTCAAGGAAAGTCACACTGGGAGAATTTGAGGGCAACCAGAATGAGTAGCAAAAAGGTGCTAATAACCTTTGTATAGGTTCCTATGATCTAACAAGTGAGTATTAGCAAAAACTATTGAGGCACCTGGAGATAGGAATTATATTTGTGGGAGAAAAAACAAACCCCTGGTTTAAGGAAGCGGTTTAAGGAAGTTGGGGTTGGTTTCAATAGCCACTATTGCTACCTCCTTTATAGGGTTTGATTTCATTACAGCCCTTGTCCTCCGTGATAAATTTTATACCTTCTCTAAATGCAGAGAATGAAAGAAGTTTGCAAGGAGAAGAGACCTAGAAGCTTAGGCTGAGTAATTTGCCAAAGCTAGTAAGTAGCAGACCATAGTGGTCTGACCTCCAAGCTTACCCCCTCAACCTTTCAATAAACCCTTCCCTTGATTTTAATAGTGCCGTGGGTCTTATTAGTCACTGGGACAGAGCTGAGGCCCTCGTCCATTCCCCTAGGAACTTAATTAGTGAGTTGATGTCAGGAGTGGGTCGTTACCCAAAAGGCAGGTTCTGTGACTTGCCAGAGGTTGATGTCAAATTTGGTTGAGTGCTACCTAATGTTCACAGCAAACAGGGAATCACAACCAACAACAGTGATCAGCGTCCATACAATAGAAATTCCTTTTCTAGAGAGACACAGTTTTGCGTGACATGGGATAGCTCTTCCACAGTGTCTCATAGAGGGCAGACTGATGAGTGACGTTGATACCCACAAACTGTTAAATAAATACATTAGTGAATGTTGTAAGGTAGTTCTTACACTTTCTTCAGCGTAGGCCAGTGTTTAACGCCATCCGTGTCTGGGCGATTCCATGAAGGGCAAAGACCGTGTGTGATCACAGATGATTGACTTCATCATGGGATAAATTGTAGAGCATTTTATAGGGATCACAGCAGCTGAGAACTGCGTGAATGTGGCCCCACTGAATCCCCCCACAGCTGTCGGTGTGTTTTTAGCCCAGATCCATGTAAAATGTGCCTAAGGGGAAAACCAGCACAAAGTACATCAGAATTTTCTTTTAACTGGGTGATTAAAAGGAGTTTTCCCTTTTCCCATTTCTGTTTCCTTATTGCCCTTTTAGAACACTGAACATATTTTACTTTCATGCTTAAAAAAGAAAAAGCTTCCTAGGAACTTTTAACCTTTAACTTTGAATGATGGGAAAATCAAAGAGATTGATTTATCATAAATGTGATTATGGACTGTTTGGCTCTGTCATGCTGTCCAGTGTCAGTTCAATTGAAAAGTAATTTATGGAGGCTGAGGTTAGTGGCCAGCTGGCTTGTATGCTTTTAGTTATTACTTTCTTGCCTGACTTGTTTTGAACCAGTTGACTATTATATACTTTCCCTGAATTTAAATTTTCATTTTCTAGTCTTTCAAGTTCTGTGTAAACACCATTTGTTGTTGTGTATATTTTGTTGTTTTGGGCTGCTGCCTAAGTAACTAAGACCACAGTACAGCAAAGTTTTGTTTGTTGGACTTTAGATTTCAATTGATCTCGTAGTTCTTTTCTATAATCAGGAAACTGTATACACATTGAGGTTACTTACCTGTTCTTGAAACTGTAACCCTAGGACCATTTTGTGGTATTACCCAGATAGTCACCCCTAAATTTATTTATTTACCCATTTAGAGGATGCTGAATATGTTTCATTGTAGGAATAGGAAAGAATTAAGAAATGCAGACACTGACCTAAAGACTTTTTTTTTTTTAATATGGAATAAAAAAGATGAAAGACATATTGTCACTTCTTTTATGGCCAGCTGTCACATGGATACTACAGACAAGAAAACCTATAGGAGTTCAATAGAGGCCGGCACTTCCTGCACATGCGTGGGCCGGAGCAGGATGTGGAAGGATGAGTGAAATGTGAAAAGGTGGAGTAGCGAGCAGAGACCAGAGTGAATGAATGAGTGCAGTGCAACGCAAGCTCTGAGCTTGTCCTCCAGCTCCTGGGGCTCTCTGCTCTGCCCGCGCCAGTGCCGATGCAGATCTCAGCTTGAATTTAGACTTAACCCGCACTTTCCAATCTCATAGAAACGTTGCATGCCATGTAGACTTTGCTGAGGCATTTAGTTAAGTACAGAGAAGGGGCTTTATCACTCACTCTCCACAGCCAGCAATCAAAAAGGCTAGACTAGGGCTTCCTTTTCTGGAGGGGCTCTTTCTGCATGCCACCCCTGCAGAGTTTCTCTCACAGAACCCCTTCCCCCAGATGTCCGGTGGGTGTCTGCCCTCAGTGGCTGAAATTTCTCCCCCCAGATCCCTGTCCCTCATTTTGCAGTGACCCCTCTTCCGTGCCCCACCTCAGATTTGCATACCCACAGCTGTCGGCTGTCATACTGTTACTCATGAGTCTGAGCATACACAGAATCTACCTTCCTGGGAATATTTTTACCTCCCGAACCAGCTAGGAGTGGAGCGCCTACCTACACACAAATTGTGTTCAGCAGAGTCAGCTGCCCTGATGGAAGCTGAGAGTTGGGAAGAGAGGGTTGAGGACCCACCAGTTTGCCTAGAAGGAATACTGAAGCTCGAAATTCCAGAATATGGTATCAGGACTGTGTGCTGTTAACACTGAGGAACCTTGGAAGGTTTATGAGCAGGAGATGTACATAATAAAAAGGGTAACAATTCCTGTCCATTTCTTACAGAAATAGGTTTTATTGGTTTAGATTTCTGTATTCCGCTCTAACTTCTTTTACTCTTCCTTTTCATTTCCTTCCCAATGATATAGTAAAACTTGATTTCTTCCATGAAGGAAGATTCTTTTCTCTGTTCCCCTACTCTTATGTAAGAAAGCTGAAAGAAAATATTAGTCCTCTGAATTTACTTATCCATCTCACTGTGATGACTCACGGTCATCAATTCCACTTTTCCCTTCTGTCCTTACAGTATTTTTATGTGAACACATTTTATCCTTTTTTTTTTTTCTCATGGCCTCCAGAAGACATAATCTGAATTTTATTTCTCAAACTAGAGAAGGCTTGCATTATACCTTTTAAAAGGTCACTTAATCCTTTTAAACCCTCATTTTTAGGCATTTTTCAAACCCTAGAAAAATTAGTATGTGGCACAATGAACGCGAACCCTCCCTTTTGTACTAAATCTAGGACCAGACTTGCAGTCTAAATAATTTGGCATTTTTATTATTTTCTGCTTCACTCTCCCCAGGTTTATTGCAGTTTCTAATTTAAGCTCACTGTGATAGCCGGAAACAAGACTAGTCCTTCATTTTCAAGAGGGTTTCTCTGTGTGCACTGACCCTGAAGCTTAGAAGTGTGAACCACCAAAAAATATATACATAATGAAACTTCAAAGAAAATATTTATATAGTTTTATTGGACTTTTTGAATATATCCACCCATGTAGTGAAAGATGATTATCCTCCTAGGAAACTGCTTAAAAACAAAAAAAAATAGAAAAGATAACATTCCTAGTATGTCTCTCCATGTGACATATCTATGTCACATGAGTTAAGTAGTTTGGAAAGTGAAATACATGTTTGAAAAAATTCATTATCGAACGTGAAAAGGGTCCATTTTGCCAAGAGTGGATTATAAAATGGAAGGAAATGTTTCCAATGGTATGGAAAGTGCATAGACTTGGAGAGTCTAGAAGGATTTGTAAAAATCATCGATCCTCATGGTCTTTAAGGCATGACCCTCCGTCCTAGGTCCTGTGGGGGCACCTCCAGGAGCACTGCTGGCCAGGGAATGGTGGGGAGCCCACCTCTCTCCAAATCGAATAGTTCTGCCTCATCTCCTCTACGCATTAGGCTTTCCTACAGCTAAGAAAAAAAGTCTGCAAACTACTGACAGCCCAACTCCCCAGGCAGTTTCTGAACATCTTCCTGAGACAGATGAATAACACGCTCAGATAAGCACGCAGGTCTGCGTGGTTCCTGATGTTTTGTGATCCTCATCAGTAAAGTGGGTTTAGCGGAACAGTACATAGAAGACCCACTATTGTATTGGAAATTAGAACGTTCTGAACATATTCTTTCCCTCCAGGGATAGACACAGTGCACATCTCATTGGGTAGCAAATCTGATGGCAACAGAATTGTCATATTTTGCCGTGTGTAATGCGCTCCTGTGTATAATGCACAGCCACGTTTTTGGCCCAAGCTTTCAGGGGTGAAAACTTTGAATTTTTTAATTCAGATTTTTATTTGTTTACATTCAGGTGCTTGTTTTTTGTATTATAGAGGAATTTTAGCGTTTATTTTTTAACATATTATGGTGCAAGAAATTTTATGTAACAAATAATTACAAAACAACAGATACAAGAAATTTTATGTACTGGTAACAAATTTACAATATGTACACATCATAGATCTCTTCGTTGTTGCAAGTTCGTTGTAAGTTCAACAAAACCGATTATCGTATTCCAGGGTATTATTTTGCATACAGATATTGTTACTGATTTCTAGAGTTACACTTTTAACTCATAAGCATAAGTAAAAGAATTAAAAACGTTTATATAGATACGGAATTAGTACTCCCTGTGTATAATGCGCATCCTTATTTTTCCCTCACAAATTTGGGGGAAAAAGTGTGCATTATACATGGCAAAATACGGTATTGAAAGTTTTCATGAAGTGGTAATTTTAGGTTTGAATATTGTGACAGCAGGTGGAGCTAGCAGGAGGACCTCTATTTCTAGGCCGTTTAAAGAGAAGCAAGATACAGAAAACTTACATCATGCATTTACATTTCAGAGCTTCAGGAATCACAGGCCATGATGCATTGGCTTTGAAACTTGACCACACTGCTCCAATGTGAGAGCCCAGCTGCATGAAAACCTCTCTGTCCTCTTTAGAGAAGGACCTTGATGTCTTGCTGTGGAAGATTAGAACAAGTTAAGGGCATGTGGGGTAGGGGGACAGCAGGGATGTGTTTACATGGCTTAATATTACTTAATGACCTTTAGAATATTGACTTCAAAAACTAAGGTGTATGCTCCTCTGGGAAAATAATGTTAAAGAACTTGATTACATGTACACAGTTATGTGTGTTACTAGATTGTTTCTCTTTTTAAGTGGTGATAAACAGTTGAAATCCATGTTTATTTTCACCCAGGAAAAAACAAAAAATATTTGCTTTTTATCCCACAAGATTATGAAATAAAGACATGACGACTTCATAGCTCCAAATACCAATGAGTTTTCTGAATATGTAATTTATAAGATATCACAAGTCATGTACTTTTTATCTTGTGACTCACACATGGAACCGTGGAATTGTGCTTTTTTTTCTTACCATTTCCCTAAATCAGATGCAATGATAAGTAAAGAGAAACTGTTATCCATGCTTTTCCTTTACCTCTGTTTTTTGTTTGTTTTTTACTATATCATATGTAATTGAGGTTTCTGAAATGATTTATTTTGCTGGCTATGTGAATAAAAAGTGACCTACTTTTTGGCAGTGCCACATTTTGCTGTGTATAATGTGCACTTTTTGGCCCAAATTTGTGAGGGAAAAATAAGGATGC